CTCCTCCTCTCACCCCGCCCCCACAAGCCCAGATCCCGCCCCAAACGTCCCACCCCTTCCTCCTCCTCCTCCAATCCGGCTCTTCTGTCCCAGGAATGGGGGTGTGAGCCCCCTCCCACCCTGCCTTCTTCTCCAGGACGTGGAGCTTCCACTCCGGATTGCTGCTCTGCCCCGTAGATCTAGGGGGGGGGGGCGGCTTTCGATGCTGCAGGAAAGGAGAATCGGGAGCGAGGACAAAGAGGTAAAGGGGTCGCGGGGGGGGGAGAGGAAGAGACGAGGACCCAGAGACCCCTCCAGCTCCCCAAAGCGCCTTCCGTGGGGCCTGGATCCCGGCACGCGTGCTGCGAAGGGGGCTTTCCTCGCAGGGCGGACCCCTCGCCCCGTTTCCCAGGCTCCGCGCGTCCCATGAAAAGCTTAAGGGGCGCGAGAGACGCCTGGATAGAGACCCCCCTGTCCCTCCCTTGCTCCTGTTAGGGGGGGCATGCGGATGGAGAGACGGGGGCGCAGGACGTGGGGTGAGTGGTGCCAAGGAAGCCTCTGGGTGCAGGGGAGACTCCGGGAGAAAGAGAGGGGTCATGGAAGTGGGGGAGAAGGGAGGGGGGCATCGCCGAGGCAGGGAAGCGCAGCATTGGCCGGGTGGGTGGGGAGATAGGAAGACCAGTCTTTGGGGAGACATCTCCATCATGACGCCCACGATGAATCTCCGGAGGGGCCGCCTTGGCTTCTCCCTCCCGCCCAGCAATCGACCCCCCCCCTTCAAGGCGACCAGAGAGGGATCCCTGGAAAGTGGGGGTCCTGTCCCCCCACCCTTCCATCCTGCAATCTCCATCCTCTTCCCACCCCATAAGCCCCTGCCATGTCCAGACACAGCCATTCTGCCCACTCCACCCATTGGTCCCCCTGAAGAGGAGAGGAAATCCCCAGAGGAAGAGGGGAGGGGGGAGGCCTTCTCAGAAGCGGCTCTTGGTTTCCGAAATCCCACCCAGGAAGCAGCCAGAAACCTTTTCCTCTCTCTCAGGCTTCCATCTTTATTGTCTTTTCCACTGAGGATGAGGATAATGTACACCTGTCATTAGAAACAGGGTGCAGAGTCCATGGAATGGCTCTCAGGGCTGATACAGAAGTTGCACCTCAAAAGCATTTCTGTTCCTCTTCTTCTTTGTAGCCAATGTCAGAGTGACTGACAAGCTGAGATACAATCCATCATCATCCGATGACAGCGACTGCATGAATCTTCCCAGTCAAAGGAGCCATTTTCAGGATAGACAGTGCCTGTGGCTGGAGGCTCTACACACCGGGTGTGCCTGTGCAGGCCAAAGACTGCCAGTGTTAGCACAGGTGAGGTGTGTGACATCCCCAAATTTACAGACTGTATGTGAATGAGCGTTTGTGGGTAGGATTCTTTTTTACGGCAACCCTGTGATTTTCTCCACTCATAACATTTCGTAAGCTAATATTGCAGTAAAAATTCCAAAATAACTACAAAAAAATCACACGATAATAATAATATTACAGTGGTACCTCAGGTTAAGAACTGAATTCGTTCTGGAGGTCCGTTCTTAACCTGAAACTGTTCTTAACCTGAGGTACTACTTTAGCTAATGGGGCCTCCTGCTGCCGCCTCGTGATTTCTGTTCTCGTCCTGATGCAAAGTTCTTAACCCAAGGTACTATTTCTGGGTTAGCAGAGTCTGTAACCTCAAGCGCCTATAACCTGAAGCACCTGTAACCCAAGGTACCACTGTAGAAGTTCTAGTATTAGTATTTTCCCCCAGCCGCTCTGGGCAGCTTACAGTACATATAGGTAAAGGGACCCCTGACCATTAGATCCAGTTGTGGCCGACTCTGGGGTTGCGGCGCTCATCTCGCTTCACTGGCCGAGGGAACCAGCATACAGCTTTCGGGTCATGTGACCAGCATGACTAAGTTGCTTCTGGCAAACCAGAGCAGCGCACGGAAATGCCGTTTACCTTCCCACCAGAGTTGTACCTATTTATCTACTTGCACTTTGATGTGCTTTCGAACTGCTAGGTTGGCAGGAGCAGGGACCGAGCAACGGGAGCTCACCCCGTCGCGGGGATTCGAACCGCCAACCTTCTGATCAGGAAGTCCTAGGCTCTATGGTTTAACCCACAACGACACCAGCGTCCCTACAGTACATATACAAGACAGTAAAACATCCAACATTAAAAACCTCCTGATACAGCTGTCTTCTAAATGTCAGATAGTTGCCTACCTCCTTGCCCTCGGAAGGGAGGGCATTCCATGGGGCAGGAGGCCCTCTGCCTGGTTCCCTGGAACTTCACTTCTAACAGCAAGGGAACCAGCAGAAGACCCTCGGAGGCGGACCTCCCTGTCCGGACTGAGCGATGGGGGTGAAGATGCTCCTTCAGGTCCACAGGGCCAAGGCTGTTGAGGGCTTTAGGTTGCAGATCTTGCTCCTCCCAGTGGCGTAGCGTGGGTTGTCAGCACCCGGGGCAAGGCAAGTAATTTGCGCCCCCTAACCCGTGGATTTTCACACTGCGAGTGCGAGCGCGCGCCCCCAGATGTTGTGGCCGGCCCCCCCTGTACCCCCCATGCTACGCCACTGGCTCCTCCATAATGATCGATGTATAGTTAGCAGAGTAGGAAAACACACAGAGTCAAGAAAAAAGTAATTCAGCTGAGAAATTTATTACTGAATACAGTAAGCATAACAGGATCCAAAAAATAGCAAAAATGTAACTCACAGTAAAACCCTGACTTAGCAAACCAAAACAGCACTCAAGTAAGAAACAGACAAGCAGAGTACAGTAATATCAGAATAGGAAGTGGGAGCAGGTGCATTTCAATACTGTAATTTATATATAATTCAAAGTCAGAGTAACCCTGGGACTAGATAACAAGCCTCCAGGTGGACGTGCCCCATCTGCCCTTCACTTTCCTCTTCCGCAAGGGCAGAATCTGCCTTCTGGACTGTGGGATTCACGGTTGTTCTCCTCCTCTCCATCCACCAGGGCTTGACTTCAGGTGCAGCAGAAATCCGCAGCCCACCAAGGATTTGAGACCCATCAGCTTTCCTCACCTGGTTTAGCCGGCCGGTTGAATCCGCTGCTTGAACCCCTGTTGCATGCTGACAGCTTCTGGAAGCCACAGGTGAGAGCTGAGTGCAGCGTGGGCACCAAGGGTGGAAAAATGACCCCAGAAGGTGCAGGACATGACCACCACCAAAGGAACTACTGCTCCCCAACACCCCATGACATCTAGATGCAGGTAGGTAGCCGTGTTGGTTTGACGCAGTTGAAATAAAAAATAGTCCAGTAGCACCTATGATTGTTCTACATTTAAGCTTTCGTGTGCATGCACACTTCTTCAGATACACTGAAACAGATGTCACCAGACCCTTGTATATCGTGGGAGGGTGGGGTGGGGTTTTTCTCAGAAGGGTACTCCTACTTCCATCTCCTACTACCCATCACTATATGAAGAAGTGTGCATGCACACGAAAGCTTAGACCTCGAACAAACTTAATTGGTCTCTAAGGTGTGGTTGTTGTTGTTGTTTAGTTGATTAGTCGTGTCCGACCCTTCGTGACCCCCTTGACCAGAGCATGCCAGGCACTCCTGTCTTCCACTGCCTCCCGCAGTTTGGTCAAACTCATGCTGGTAGCTTCGAGAACACTATCCAACCATCTCGTCCTCTGCCGTCCCCTTCTCCTTGTGCCCTCCATCTTTCCCAACATCAGGGTCTTTCTTGGGGAGTCTTCTCTTCTCTTGAGGTGGCCAAAGTCTTGGAGCCTCAGCTTCTGGATCTGTCCTTCCAGTGAGCACTCAGGGCTGATTTCCTTCAGAATCTAGAGGTTTGATCTTCTTGCAGTCCATGGGACTCTCAAGAGTCTCCTCCAGCACCATAATTCAAAAGCATCAATTCTTCGGCGTTCAGCTCTTTATGATTCTTTATGGTCGAGCTCTCACTTCCATATATCACGACTGGGAAAACCATAGCTTGAACTATACGGACCTTTGTTGGCAGAGACCTTAAAATGTCTCTGCATTTTAAGATGCTGTCTAGGTTTGTCATTGATTTTCTCCCATGACCCTAAGGTGCTAATGGACTATTTTTGTTACTTTTTTACTTGAACTGTGTCAGACCAATATGGCTACCTACCATTAAGTACAGTTATCTCCTTGCCTTGAATATCCTGCTTTTCAGTGCCAGATGAGGATAGTCCTCTGTCAGAAGACAAGCACAGGATCAGGCAGCACATCATCATTATAAGGAACCATTGGGGTGGGTGTTTCCATCTGGGATTCCCATTTGCCATCTGCTTTCCTTCTGCTTCTCCTGCTCTCCCCATGCAATGTGAGGCATGTAGACAGAGGTCCATCTCCCAGAACAGGAGCTTCCCTGAGCACCCATTCAGCTGACCCCAAGCACCAAGCCTTGTCACTAGTTCTCTGACTGACCCAGACCACAGTCCCCAGAAAAGATGTAGACCTGGGTCTCCCAAAATGGTCCATATAGACCTCCTGAGGTCAGTGGGACTATGCAGTTGATTCATGAAGATCTAGAGGTGGAAATGGGGGCAACCACTTGATTTGAAAGGCAGTTCCACAGGACAACAGTATTCCAAGATCATGCTGTGTTATTAAAGATGATGGAGGATTATGAAAGGTTGCTGATACATTACTACCATTTGACATCATACCATTTTTATTTCCTAAAAATTGGGAACATGGGTAGGACATGGGAGAATGTAGGAGATGTTGAAATAAGAGAAGGTGCTAATGGCGGTTGATGTGTCCTTTTTTTCCTGTGTTCTCTTTCTTTAAACCCAAACAGGATTTCCTTTCTGCCCACTCTGAAAAAGGTGATGGAGAAGACAGAATTGCAGAGGACAGGGCACCTTTCATTTCATTAGGAATAGCCATTAAAATGTGTGAAATGTGGAATATGCTTCACTGAACGAGCACACATAGTTCACATCAACGAACCCAAAAAGGAAATAACCCATTTAAAGGTATGGAGTGCGGAAAGAGCTTCTCTTTCAATGCAAAACTTAGAACACACCAGCGGACTCACACAGAGAGAAAACATTTTAAGTGCAGGGAGTGTGGGAAGAACTTCAGTCAGAGTGTACACCTTAAATTGCACAAACGGACTCACACAGGGGAGAAACCATATGAATGTAAGGAGTGTGGAAAGAACTTTAATAATAGTGGAAGCCTTAGAAGACATGAACGGATTCACACAGGGGAGAAACCATTTAAATGTATCGAGTGTGGAAAGAGCTTTCGTTGTAATACAAGCCTTAGATCACATCAACGGACTCATACAGGGGAGAAACCATATAAATGTATTGAGTGTGAAAAGAGTTTTAGAAATAGTGGAAACCTAAGAAGACATCAATGGACTCACACAGTGGAGAAACCATTTAAATGCATGGAGTGTGGAAAGAGCTTTAGTGATAATGGAAACCTTAGAACACATCAACGGACTCACACAGGGGAGAAACCATTTAAATGCATGGAGTGTGGAAAGGACTTCAGTCAGAGTGGACACCTTAGGAAACATCAACGGACTCACACAGGGGAGAAACCATATAAATGTATGGAGTGTGGAAAGAGCTTCAATCAGAGTGGAAACCTTAGAAATCATGAACGGACTCACACAGGGGAGAAACCATATAAATGTATCGAGTGTGGAAAGAGCTTCATTCACAGTTCACACCTTAGAACACATCAACGGACTCACACAGGGGAGAAACCATTTAAATGTATCGAGTGTGGAAAGAGCTTTAGTAATAGTGGAAACCTTAGAACACATCAACGGACTCACACAGGGGAGAAACCATATAAATGTATCGAGTGTGGAAAGAGCTTCAATCAGAATGGATACCTTAGATCCCATCAACGGACTCACACAGGGGAGAAACCATTTCAATGCATGGAGTGTGGAAAGAGCTTTAGTAATAGTGGAAGCCTTAGAAGACATCAACAGACTCACACAGGGGAGAAACCACATAAATGTATCGAGTGTGGAAAGAGTTTCCGTTGTAATACAAGCCTTAGATCACATCAACGGACTCATACAGGAGAGAAACCATTTAAATGTATGGAGTGTGGAAAGCGCTTCAGTTATAGTGGAAGCCTTAGAAGACATCAACAGACTCACACAGGGGAGAAACCATTTCAATATATGGAGTACAGTAAATACTTCACTCAGAGTGGAAATCTTAGAAAACATCAGTAGATACACAGGGGAGAAACCATTTAAAGGTATGGACTGCGGAAGGAGCTTCAGTCAGAGTGGAACCCTTGATTTATGTCAACAAAGTCACACAAAAGACAAACCGTATAAATATCAGGAAAGTAGATAGAGGTTCACTCTTAGTGGAAGTTCAAAATCAACAGACTCACGGACAGGAAGAACTTTAAGAGTTGAAACCCTTCAAACCATCAACAAACTCAGAGAGGAGAAGCAGTTTAAATTAAAAGATTGCAAAAAGTGCTTTATTTATAATGGAGTGATCAAGGAACATCCCAGGACTCTCACATGGGAGAACCCATTTAGATGTATGGAGTGTGGGACATCTTCCTCTCAGAGTCCACTCTGAGCAATGAACTCAGCAGGAAATCATTCCTAAAAGCATCAGGGATATGTGAAGTTCTGGTGTTTATATGTAAAACATTATAATAATCAAATAATGAAGGCAGCATCTCACAATGGTGAGTATAATTTTAGATGAAAGTACTTTTGGTTTTTGTACCAAACTCTGTCACCCCCCCTCCCACATGATCTCCAAGCACTGCTTCTTCACCAGAACTTCATCGCTGCCTCCTGCCCTGCGCATTCTGAAGAAAACTTGAAATACTGAAATTGAATGGGAGATTCCCCCCCCCAAGTCTAATTTCAAGAGGGGGAATGAGGGGCTGCAGGTAGCAGGGAAGTCTCCTGGGGGCCCCATCTTCACTCATGAATCCCCATGGGGCAACCCCGGAGCTCCTGCTCATTCTGGGGTTTGAGGAAGATAGCATTTTTCCATAGTCCCAGAAGGTTTGCTTCAATCATGCTTCTCAGGAGTTTTCCTACCAGAGGACCACAGTGCTGTGGCTGCTGTTGTTGTCAAGGACTGGCTGGTGAGGGGGGGGAGGCACAAGCTGGGGGACCCACAAGGCAAGAAGGCTCAGATCCTGTTGACTGGTGATGGGATGAGGCGAAAGAGGGAGAAAAGGGAGCAGACCGGAAGGGGAGATGTTGCAAGCTGAGGAGGAAACTGGGTTAGGTGAGCAGGAAGAGTCTGGGGCAGAGAGCAGTTCAGGCTCAGAGGAAGGAGAGGAGGGGGCCAGGAGACCCAGAGGAGGCTGGCTGCTGAAGAATCCAGGGAGACTCCCCCTCCTGCTGCGACCAGCACATGCCTCTGAGTGTGGCGGTTAGAACGCTTAGAATGTGGGGATCCCATTTTTCAACCAAAGCCAAAACAAAAACAAAAACCCGCTAGCCTTTTCCCAGGTCTTTTCTGACCTGACAGTCATTCGTCTTCTTTACGTCCTTCTCCCTCCCTTTATTTACCATGGGGTCCCAGCACCCTTTTCTGCCTCTTACACTCTAGGGAAAAGAGTCCCTTTCCATTGGACGCCTGGCAGCCCAGTGCCAAATACGGCTGCTCCAGAGAGAACGGAAAGGAACTGGAAACGCTCTTGCGCTCTGACATGCACCAGTCACTTCCTTCCAGATCTTGGTGCTGCCGGTGCAGCTGCATTTACGAGAAAAAGAGAAATCAGAAACCGAGCCCAAGTCCCTTGCTATCCAAAGTGGCCACTTGTACCAGCCTTGGGGGCGTCTTCCTTGGGGAAAAGGAAAAGTTTCAGATCTCAGGTTCCCCGACAGGGAATGAGAGCTTTGATTGGGGTTCTCCCCTTGCAGTCAATTGCCTCTCTAATTGCAGAACCCCAAGTCTCCCGTTCTCCCCTCCCACTCCTAGCTACCTCTTGCCAGGAAGGCTGGGAGTGAAGACCGTCAGCAAAAGAGACAGCCAAGGATGAGAATCTGGGTTGCTGGGTGTTTCAGAGAATCCCGCCCACAATCTTCTCCATTCCTAGACTCACGTCCGCATGCGCTGCTCCTGGCCATCCCAGGGTCTTTTACTAGATTAATTTATGGCCGGTCTGGGGCTGAAAATAATCTACCAAAAAACTAAATTACTGACAAAAAGCCTCACAATGGAAGGGAAAAAAAGAACTTCAAGAAAAAACAGGCCTGGAAACTAAAAATAAGGTTAAATACCTAGGGATCTGGATTTCAAATAAAAGTATAAATGTATATGTATCCTAAAATGTATTTTAGGAGGAATGAATTGTTTTAAGGAGTGGCAAAGGGAAATATCTCGATTTATATGGAGTGGAAAGAAACCGAGAATTAAACACCAGTTATTAACAGATCGAAAGGAGAGAGGAGGTTTTGCATTGCCAGATTTGGAATTCTACCATGCGGAGGCAGGATTGGTTTGGATAAAAGACAGGATTACACTAAAAGATACGGACCTATTAGACTTGGAAGGCCACGAGGATCGGTCTGGATGGCACGCTTCTTTAATACAGTGGTGCCCCGCAAGACGAATGCCTCGCAAGACGGAAAACTCGCTAGACGAAAGGGTTTTCCGATTTTTGAGCTGCTTCGCAAGACGAATTTCCCTATGGGCTTGCTTCGCAAGACGAAAAACGAAAATGTCTTGCAAGTTTGTTTCCTTTTTCTTAACACCGTTAATACAGTTGCGACTTGACTTCGAGGAGCAACTCATAGAACGCGGTGTGGTAGCCTTTTTAGAGGTTTTTGAAGACTTTGGTGATTTTTGAAGCTTTTCCAAAACTTCTTTTAAACTTTTAAAACTTTTTTTGGGGGGGTTTGGATTTTGGGTTGGGGTGTTTGGAATTCAAGGACTTGGTGTTGGGGAGGGGTTTTCTGCATTTTTATGATGTTCTGTGACCATTGGGCCACTCTGCTGTTTTTTTAAAAAAATTCTGGATTTGAATTTCTGTGTGGTGGGTGGCTGGGGGAACAGTTGAGGAGGGGGTTCTTCAGCAAGAAGCAAAGAGTGGAAGAGGAACCTTGTTCGAGTTGTCCCCCAGAGTCTTAGAAAATGTACTGTACACTTTGTTGATTTTTAAATGTTTTTCTGTCATGTTTAGAAACTTACTTTATTGTTCCTTCAATTTTTGAAATGCTCTTTACAGTATGTGTGACTTTAAAGAGCACTTAATAAACTCTTGTTTGGCTTTGTTTGGACTTTTTTTGATCATAGGAACTCAATTGAATTTCAATGCATTCCTATGGGATTTCGTGCTTCGCAAGACGAAAAATTCGCTAGACGAAAAAACTCGCGGAACGAATTAATTTCGTCTTGCGAGACACCACTGTATATGGAAAAGTGAAGGTCCACAGGGGATTTTTGAGCCATGTGATAAGAAAATCGTGATATAAAATCTGGAATAAATATAAAGGACTACTTGAGCCAAAAATACCCTTGTGGACATCACCAAGAGAAGCCATCTACTCATGTTAGAATAGTTACAACTAGCAAAACTGACGGGAAGAGTTAGAGGAGTATTGAACTGGAAAATATTTGGAGAATGGAGAATATTTAAGGATTATATAAGATCATATTGTACCAACCACACCATATTAGCAGAACCTGAGTGATACTTGTAAACATAACAAATACTGTTTGTGGAGTAGACGGGAACAATATTAAAGAATATAAAACTGTGCAAAAGAAACAACGGCAGTATAAACAGCACAATGAGAATGATTGGAAGACTCGTTTTGTCAGAAGTCTCTTTTATTTAATTAATCATGCACATAAATCTGCTTTTTCTTTCTTTTCTGTATTTTCTTCCTTCCTTTTTTCTTCTTCGTTTTTTCTTTAATTTTATTTTTGCAGTATGAGATTCCAAATTCTTTGTATATGTGTGTAATTTAAATCAATAAAGATTATTTTAAAAATAAATCAATTTGTGGCCGGCCTGATCAAGCGTTGCTTCCTCTGGTTAGCCCCACTGGAACTCCAGTTCTTTCCAGACCCTGGGGTCACTAGAGCAGCATTTCCCAACCTTGGGCCTCCAGCTGTTTTTGGACTACAACTCCCATAATCCTCAGCTAGCAAGACCAGTAGTCAGGGATGATGGGAATTGTAGTTCGAAAACAGCTGGAGGCCCAAGGTTGGGAAACACTGCACTAGAGGACTGGTGGCTCCTCCTGGCAAATGGCCTGGTGTGCACTGGACCACCAGTCCTTCCTTGCCCCCAGAATCCGGCCAACCGAAGGTCCCATCTGGGGTGCCATCTGTTGTAAACAAAGCTGCCCTTCTTCCCTTATGGGGACACAAGAGCCCTTTATAGAGTCCCTTGTAGGTTCTCCATCGGTAGGAGAAAACAACTGAGGCCAACCAGAGACTACTGGGAAGCAAAGCAGCTAGTAAGCCTGATCTTTATTGATCTGCTGCAACAGGGTGCTCCCCTGAGGAGGACCCCCAACCAAGGCGTGCCAGCCCTTATATAGACATTTTAAATTCCCTGACCTGGAGCTCCAGACCACCCCTCCATACATCACAGAAGGGGTGTAACCCAAGTCCACCTACTACAAACTGTTACGATATAGAAGCAATGCGGCCGCGAGCTGGTAGCTTGAAAGCAAAACATAATGGGAATGTTGGGACTGTTCCGTGGGAAACAGAGGGACAGTCAATTCACAGTGCAGAGGGCACCGGAATTAGCTGAGAGTGTAATATGAGCTGTACAGGAAGTACAGGAGGAGTTTGTCTCTCGACTGCTGGAGCTTGAAGAGAGCAGTCATGATTTTTGTAACGCTGCAAAGACAGAAATAAAGGAATGTAAATACGTTTCTGTCTATCTCTTTCCCTGCCTGGGGGGGCAGGAAAGAGGGGGGGTGTTCTTCTCACTCTGAGAAGGATCGCCTATCGCGACCTCTGCCTGGATCCTGCTGGGGAATGCAGACAGGGAGGTCAACAGGAGATCAAGCCGGGTGCCTGGAGAGTGGCCAGTTTCTCCTGATAAAGGCTTGATTCCCAACATACCTACATCACAGAAAAGGCGGTCTACAACAGAAATTTGAATGTTGTTGTTTTTCCCGTCTGCCAGGTTATCTGATAATGCCTTATCTGATTGCCTTTCCTGGTAGTCTGGCCATTCCTTTGAGATGGTGATTTCCCAATTCCTGAGACAATGGGAAGGTTCCCTCACCCGCTCCCTCCTTGCAGAGAAAACATTTGGTCAGTTGGGGAGTCTAAATGGTTTCAGGACGGTCTTCCTGTGCTGCTCCAGACATGTGGTCCACATATCTATGTATGCGCTTGGTTGGTACATTTATGAACATTTATTGTATATTATAAGACCTTGTTACGGAAAATCTAGGTACGAGGCTGCTCTGCCACCTAGCTCGTCGGACTGAGTCCGCGGGTCCCTGCGGAACAAAAGGAGCGCAGCCAGAGACTGGAGCAAGTTGGAGAAGATCCACGTTTGTTGTGCAACAGGTTCAAGGCGAGATTGAACCCCGAGGATGGGGTGACATGAACTTTTAAAACTTCCCACCATTACCCCAGATACAGTTCAAAAGCATCATCACTACATCATTGCTACATCACGATTACATCAGAAAAGGGGTGGGTTCTACAGGATTAACATATGGAGGAGGGAGGGGGAAACATGCAGAGTTGGAACATGTATTGAAAGGCACATTCTGATTACCGGTGATAAGAGAGCAATGGGGTCTTAGTTTGCATAGTCTGTGACCCGGCCGAGCCTGGAGGAAGGGCTAGACTGGGTGATTTGGCATCAATGAGGTCTTTCCTGGGTGTACGTGACCGTGACCTCCCGCTTGAGGGATTATGGAAGGTACTGGGCAGTCTTGAAGTCCTGAGTAAATTGAGCAGTTTGGCATTGAAAGCAAGAGAATCGGTGGTGCGGGTGATTTTCTATGAATTTTTATATTTTTTTAGCCCTTTGAAAGAGTGGCAGCTCATTTGGGAAGCGAATTGATAGATTGTATCAATTTGGATGGGCTTAGCAAGGATACGAGGTGTCAGTCCATTGTTCTCCCCGCAGGGAGCTGTCAACAGCTTGTCAGAAGGTGACTGAGGCCTGCAAGAGCTGACACTGCAGACCAAATGCATTGTCTTGATTGGCTGGAGGCTGCGTTGGGTGCAGGCTGATTGGTCAGGACGCTCCCGTAGGCAACTAGTCTGTTCATTCATAAAATACGCTACTCGCTCCTCCGGTCTACCCAGGGAAAGGGAAAGGGCGCAGGGAAAGGGCACTTTATTTGGGGGCTTGGGTTTCGCCTGGTGCTTAGTGCAAAAGAGTGAGGGGGCTGGGGGGTCTTTGTAGGGCCGGGCGCCCTTGAGGTCATCGCCTCAAACCCTCTGAAGGCTTCTGGGAAGGGGGTTGACAAACATGCCCCCCCTTCCGTATCAACCTTAATATTTTTATTACAGGATTCATCCAGTCCAGCCTTTCGCATGATGAATTCTGCATCTACGTTAAATAAGCAGGGAGACAATATACAGCCTTGTCATACTCCTTTCCCAATTTTGAACCAATCAGTTGTTCCATATCCAGTTCTAACTGTAGCTTCTTGTCCCGCATAGAGATTTCTCAGGAGACAGATGAGGTGATCAGGCGCTCCCATTTCTTTAAGAACTTGCCATCGTTGGCTGTGGTGGACACAGTCAAAGGATTTTGTGTAGTCAATGAAGCAGAAGTAAATGTTTTCTAGATTTCTCCATAATTCAGCACATTTGCAATTTGGTCTCTGGTTCCTCTGTCCCTCTGAAATCCAGCTTGCCCTTCTGGAAGTTCTTGGTCCACATACTGCTTAAGCCTGCCTTGTAGTATTTTAAGCATAACCTTGCTAGCGTGTGAAATGGGCACAATTGTACGGTAGGTGGAGCATTCTTTGGCACTGCTCTTCTTTGGGATTGGGATTCATGTGTTCAGGAAACACATGAATTCCTCTTTGTCCTCAGGAATGTAATCATGGGGAGAGGAAAGGAGGAACCGGACAGGTGACAAGAAGAAGAAGAAGAAGAAGAAGAAGAAGAAGAAGAAGAAGAAGAGGAGGAGTTTGGATTTGATATCCCGCTTTATCAATCCCCTTCAGGAGTCTCAAAGCGGCTAACATTCTCCTTTCCCTTCCTCCCCCCACAACAAACACTCTGTGAGGTGAGTGGGGCTGAGAGACTTCAGAGAAGTGTGACTGGCCCAAGGTCACCCAGCAGCTGCATGTAGAGGAGCGGAGACGCGAACCCGGTTCCCCAGATTACGAGTCCACTGCTCTTAACCACTACACCACACTGGCTCTCGACAAGACACTCAGGTTACCACCACAACTCCTCCCTCAACCCCTCCTCTGTGTGATGTGTCAATGATGTAGTCATGATGTAGTCTTGGGGGTGTAGCATGGGGGATTAGGAGCTAATAAAAGTTGGGGTCTTCTTTTGTTCGGGGCTTCCATCTTGTTCCACCTGGTGGCAGGTGGGAGTCCTGTGGTGACAGTCTTCAATCAAGACTGTTACGGTAAAATCTGGATGCGGGGCTACTCTGCCACCCAGCTCGTCGGACTAAGTCCGTGGGTCCCTGCAGAAGAAAAATGAGCTCAGCCGGAGACAGGAGCAAACTGCAGAAGATCCAAGTTTATTGCGCAACAGGTTCAAGGCGAGATTGAACAGCGAGAAAGGGGTGACATGAATTTTTGAAACTTCCCTCCATGTGCCAGAATACAGTGCAAAATACATCCCAGTTACATCATGAATACATAGGTTCAAAAGCAAATTACAGTGGTGCCTCGCAAGACGAAAAGAATCCGTTCTGGGAGTCTCTTCGTCTAGCGATTTTTTCGTCTTGCAAAGCAAGCCCATTGATGGGATTAGCGGATTAGCGCTATTAGCGCTATTAGCGGCTTTTAGCGGCTTTTAGCAGCTTATCAGCTTATCGGATAAGCAGATAAGCGGCTTAGCGACTTAGAAAAGAGGGGGAAAAGGAAAAAAAAAACCCAGGAACTCGCAAGACATTTTCATCTTGCGAAGCAAGCCCATAGCAGATTCGTTTTGCGAGGCACCTCCAAAACGGAAAACTCTTTCGTCTAGCGAGTTTTCCGTCTTGCAAGGCATTCGTCTTGCGGGGCACCACTGTATAAGTCCCCCAATTCACTTAAAAACAACAGTTTCAGTGCACTTGAACAGTTACTTTAAAGCCAGGAGAAGTCCAGAAACACTGTATCTCTTCTGCAGAGTTAGCTGTCAAAAATCCTCTGCTTACCGATAGGCTTTCCACTGAACGGCATTCCTTGTCTAGGGGCAGTCCATTCCCAGGTTTTAAGCAGCAGATTTTAGCTTCCTTTCCCCCTTTTTTTTGCAGGTAAAAACAACTCGAACCTTCCCCCCTCCTCTCCTGCAATCCGGAGGGGAGCCCACTTTCCAGATGTTAAGATTTAAGTCTTTTTTCCGAACGTCTTTCTATGTTTCCGCTTTACAGTCTCTTTGCTTTGATCTATTTACAAGAAAGGAAGGCAGACTTCCTGGTTATACCTTCCCGCTTCGGTGCTGAATTAGCTGTTTTTTCTCCTTTTAAATCCAATTTAATCCTACTCACGGGTAGTTGCTTTCAAAATCCAATTATCCCAGGAAAAAGTCAGCGCTCTCCGATAACGGCTGTGCGGCTTCACTCCACGCAAGAAGCAGTCGACTCTCAGCACCGCGCCGCTCACCCCGTCCCGCTCCGGAGCCCTTAAAAAGGGTCCCTTCGCAACTTGGGGGGGCCCGCAAATGGTGCCTGCCGAGTCCCCACGTTCACAGGTTTCCCCTCCTGTGATTTTTAAAGGGTCCCCGCTTTGCCGCAGCGGTAAGACCCGATCCCGCGGAGCTGGTCCCTCCGAGAATCAGAGGGAATCCGCCATTAACGATGGCGCTGACCCGGAAGTCCTGTTGCTCTTGCTTTTGGGTCCTCCTGGGGGGCTTCTCTTGGGGGGCACCTGGCTGCCCGCAGTGAGAACTGGTATCTGGGCTCCATGGGCCTCCTGGGGCCTGATCCGGCCACGGCTGGCCTCCTCCTCCTCCTCCTCCCCTATTCCATGTGCCCTGGGCGTCTCCCTGCCCCGAGCCCCGTTCTCAGGTGCCACCCGGTTTGGGGCCGCCAGCCCACTCCTGCCTTTGTTGCCATGGCAATCTCCATGGGAGAAAAGGTGGCCCTGAACATCGATAGAAAGTGCTTCCAGAGGAACAACTATACACACAGGAGAAGCAGAAAGAAATGGATATCGACAAATTTTTGAAAATTAATGGACTACAAAAAATTTCCCAAGAAAATAAATTAATGTTGAATTACAAAATAATGGAACAGGAAGTAGAAGGGGCCATTCAGAACATGCAATTAGGTAAATCTCCAGGACCGGATGGACTGACTTCAAGATATTACAGATCTCTGAAAGAATGGGTAATACAACCTTTAAAGGAAGTCTGTAACGAAATACTGGAAGGGAAAAGGTCACCAGAGTCATGGAAGGAAGCTTGCATCACACTTATACCGAAAACAGAGACTGAAAAGACACAACTTAAGAATTACTGCCCCATATCATTGCTTAATGTGGATTATAAAATTTTTGCAGATATTTTGGCTAAAAGATTTAAAAAGGTGTTAATGGAAGAAATTCATAAAGATCAAGCGGGCTTTCTGCCGGGCAGACACTTATCTGACAATACGAGGAATATAATTAATATTTTAGAAAAATTACAAGTGAAGATTAATACTAAATACTAAAGCAGTTTTGATATTTGTGGATGCGGAGAAAGCTTTTGACAACATTTCTTAGAGTTTTATGAAGAAGAATTTATTGGGGATGGGGGTGGGTCAAGGTTCTGGAAACGGTATAAGTGCAATTTATTCAGAACAGAAGGCCAAATTAATTGCGAACAATGTAGCGACGGAAGATTTTAAGATTGAGAAAGGAACACGACAAGGTTGCCCAATCTCTCCATTGCTTTTTATATCGGTCTTGAAGGTTTTGTTAAATGTGATTAGAAGGGACCAATTGGTAAAAGGTATACAAGTGGGAGCGAAACAGTACAAATTGAAAGCATTCGCTGATGATTTAGTATTGACTTTACAGGAGCCAGAATCTAGTACTAAAAGAGTATTAGAATTAATCCAAGAATTTGGTCAGGTGGCAGGTTTTAAGTTGAATAAGATGAAAACTAAGGTATTAGAAAAGAACTTTACAGAGATTGAGAGAGAGAAGTTTCAGAAGGAGACAGGACTGACACTGGTCAAGAAAGTAAAATATTTAGGGGTTAATATGACTGCTAAGAATGTGAAATTATTTAAGGATAATTATGAAAAATGTTGGACTGAAGTGAAAAAAGATCTAGAAAAACGGTCAAATTTGAAGTTATCGTTGTTAGGCCGAATTGCTGTGATAAAAATGAGAGTATTGCCAAGAATGCTGTTTTTGTTTCAAACACTGCAAATTTTGGACAAAATGGACTGTTTCAAGAAGTGGCAGAGAGATATCTCCAGATTTGTCTGGCAGGGCAAGAAGCCTCGTATAAAATTTAAGATATTAACTGATGCTAAAGAAAGAGGTGGATTTGCCCTGCCAGATCTTAAACTTTATTATGAATCAGCCGCTTTTTGTTGGCTGAGAGAATGGATGCTTCTTGAAAACACAGATGTTTTGGATTTGGAAGGTTTCAATAATGTATTTGGTTGGCATGCATATTTGTGGTATGATAAGGTTAAAGCACATAAAGCGTTCAAAAACCATATTGTAAGAAAAGCACTGTTTAATGTCTGGATAAGATATAAGGATTTGTTAGAAAATAAAACCCCAAGATGGTTGTCACCAATGGAAGCAAAGGCTCAGAAAAAACTCAATATGGAGGCCAAATGGCCGAAGTATTGGGAAATTTTGGAACAAGAGGGTGACAGATTAAAATTGCAGAGTTTTGAAAAATTAAAAAACAGAGTACGAGATTGGCTCCATTATTATCAAATAATGGAGGCATATAATTTGGATAAAAAAATTGGCTTCCAGATGGAAAAATCAAAGTTGGAAACAGAATTGTTAGACCCTAAAGTTAAGAATTTGTCAAGAATGTATAACTTGCTGTTGAAATGGAATACTCAAGATGAAATGGTGAAATCTGCTATGATTAAATGGGCACAAGATGTTGGACATAATATTATGATGGCTGACTGGGAACAGTTATGGACCACTGGTATGAAGTTCACGGCATGCAATGCCTTAAAAGAGAATTTAATGAAAATGATTTATAGGTGGTACATAACACCAGTCAAGCTTGCAAAAATTTATCATTTGCCCGATAATAAATGTTGGAAATGTACTGAAACTGAAGGTACATGCTTTCACCTTTGGTGGACATGCCCAAAGATTAAGGCATTCTGGGAGATGATCTATAATGAAATGAAAAAGGTATATAAATATACCTTCCGGAAGAAACCAGAGGCCTTTCTCCTGGGCATGGTCGTCCAATTGGTGCCAAAGAAAGATAGAACTTTTTTAATGTACGCTACAACAGCAGCAAGAATACTCATTGCAAAGTATTGGAAGACACAAGACCTACCCACCAGGGAAGAATGGCAGATGAAGCTGATGGACTACATGGAACTGGCGGAAATGACTGGCAGAATTCGAGACCAGGGAGAAGAGTCGGTGGAAGAAGATTGGAAAAAATTTAAAGTATACTTACAGAAACATTGTAAAATTAATGAGTGTTAGAAGGATGCGGGAATGAAGTTACATGGTTTTAGTAGAAATGCAACAAAGAATTAAGTAAAAGTTGATTGATAATGGGTTAAATTGAAAAAATCCAAGGTTAGACCGTTAAGATAAACTATAGAATAAAAATTGAGAAAGATGGGAAGAACTTGCTGAAATAGTGAATTGAATTAGAATACAAAAAAAGGGAGGTGTGAGGAGGTCGATGAAACAAGGAAAGGAAAGGTAAAGACAAGGAATAGTGGATGTGTGTTTTAGGGGGTTTTTTTTGGTCTGTCTTTTTTGCTGTATTGATATGTTTTGTTATTGTTCTTTTTCTTTTTTATTGTTATTGTTTTGTTTTTTTTCTTTCTTCTTTTTTCTGTAATTCTTAAACTTTTAATAAATATATTTTTTTTTTTTTTAAAGAGAGCTTCCTGGAGTCCTTTTGCCAGGGGAAAATAGCTTTGGAATGGGGGGAACTGGGAAAGGAGATGATTTTGTATTATTTTTAAAGCTAGGTGACTTCCCTGAGCTGTCAAGTTGGAAGGATATATTCAGGCATAATATTTGTAATATTTGCCTTTAAAGATGTGCCCCCCCCCCCGTAATTTCCGTAACATATTCCTGGCTGGTCTCCTTGTTTCTGGTCCAAGGGATCCCTCAGATTTTGGAATCCGCTTCTGCCTACAATTGTATCGGCTGCTTTGCTGAGCCTCTTGGCTGTTGTGCAGGGACGGTGCCTGTGTCCACGGTCCTTGTCCTGGCCTTAGTCAGAGGCTGGGGTGGGGAGCTGGGATGTGGGGGGAGTCGTTTAGCTGCCCCCCTCCATTTCTGGTTAGAACAGCACCAAGACCTAAAACACGGAGGGATCTAAGCTCGTGAGGTGGGGTGGGGGAGGATGTTGCAATGCAAACCTTGTAGGCGGGACGGGACCCACTTTGCAGCTGGATCTCCGGGATCAGCCCCTCCCCCGCTCTCCTGATCCAGAAGGAAGACGGTAGAGGGGAAACCTTCCTCTCCCCCCCCAATTCTTTCCCTCCCCTCCCGGCACCTCCTCCTCTCACCCCGCCCCCACAAGCCCAGATCCCGCCCCCAAACATCCCACCCCTTCCTCCTCCTCCTCCAATCCGGCTTCTGCTCCGGGAATGGGGGGGTGAGCCCCCTCCCAATCTGCCTGCTTCTCCCGGAAGTGGAGCTTCCACTCCGGATTGCTGCTCTGCCCCGTAGCTCTAGGGGGGCGCTTTCGGAAAGGGGAGGGAGGAGGCAGAGGACCCCCTTGTGGATGTTGCAGGAAAGGAGAATCGGGAGCGAGGACAAAGAGGTAAAGGGGTCGCGGGGGGGGGGGAGAAAAGGACCCAGAGACCCCTCCAGCTCCCCCAAGCGCCTTCCGTGGGGCCTGGATCCCGGCACGCGTGCTGCGAAGGGGCGGAGATGGGGCGCCCACCCACGAGGACTCCCTGGGGCGCGGAGAAGCGGGCCAGGAAAGGGTTAAGGGGTGCGGGAGGCGCCTGGATAGAGACCCCCCTGTCCCTCCCTTGCTCGTCTTGGGGGGCAATAGGGACGGAGAGATGGGGGCGCACGGCGAGGGGTGAGCCAAGGCGGCGTCTGGGTGCAGGGGAAACCCCGGGATGGGAGGGGGGCCAGGGGCGGGGGGAGGAGGGGGCACCCCCGGGGCAAGGAAGCGCAGCACTGGGGGGGGGGGGGAGATAGGAAGACCAGGCTTGCGGGGGGCGTCTCCATCGTGGCTTCCTTGGGGACTCTCCAGAGGGACCGCCTTGGCTTCTCTCTCCCGCCCAGGAATGAAACCCCCCCTTCAAGACGACCTGAGAGGGATCCCTGGTCAGTGGGGGTCCTGCCCCCCCACCTTTCCTTCCTGCAACCTCCATCCTCTTCCCACCCCTTAAGCCCCCATAAGCCCCTGCCCTGTCCTGGAAGAGAGGAGGGGAGAGGCCTTCTCAGAAGCGGCTCTATGTTTCCGTAATCCCACCCAGGAAGCAGCCAGAAACCTTTTCCTCTCTCTCAGGCTTCCATCTTTATTGTCTTTTCCACTGAGGATGAGGATAATGTACACCTGTCATCAGAAACGGGTGCAGAGTCCATGGAATGGCTCTCAGGATTGATACAGAAGCTGCACCTCAAAAGCGTATCTGTTCCTCTTATTCTTTGAAGGCAATGTCAGAGTGACTGACAAGCTGAGATACAATCCTTCAGCATCCGATGACAGCGACTGCATGAATCTTCCCAGTCAAAGGAGCCATTTTCAGGATAGACAGTGCCTGTGGCTGGAGGCTCTACACACCGGGTGTACCTGTGCAGGCCAGAGACTGCCAGTATTAGCAAAGGTGAGGTGTGTGACATCCCCAAATTTACAGACTGTATGTGAATGAGCGTTCGTGGGTGTGATTATCGTTTACGGCAACCCCGTGATTTTCTCCACCCATAACATTTCGTAAGCTAATATTGCAGTAAAAATTCCAAAATAACTACAAAAAATCACACGATAATAATAATAGTACAGTGGTACCTCAGGTTAAGAACTGAATTCATTCTGGAGGTCCGTTCTTAACCTGAAACTGTTCTTAACCTGTGGTACCACTTTAGCTAATGGGGCCTCCTGCTGCCGCCGCACGATTTCTGTTCACATCCTGAAGCAAAGTTCTTAACCCAAGGTACTATTTCTGGGTTAGCAGAGTCTGTAACCTGAAGCGTCTGTAACACGAAGTACCACTGTAGAAGTTCTAGTATTAGTATTTTCCCCCAGCCGCTCTGGGCAGCTTACAGTACATATAGGTAAAGGTATAGGGACGCAGGTGGCGCTGTGGGTAAAACCTCAGTGCCTAGGGCTTGCTGATCGCATGGTCGGCGGTTCGAATCCCCACAACGGGGTGAGCTCCCGTCTTCGGTCCCAGCTCCTGCCCACCTAGCAGTTTGAAAGCACCCTTAATTGCAAGTAGATAAATAGGTACCGCTTTATAGCGGGAAGGTAAACGGCGTTTCCGTGTGCTGCGCTGGTGCTGGCTCGCCAGAGCAGCTTCATCACGCTGGCCCCGTGACCCGGAAGTGTCTCTGGACAGTGCTGGCCCCCGGCCTCTTAAGTGAGATGGGCGCACAACCCTAGAGTCAGACACGAATGGCCCGTACGGGCAGGGGTACCTTTACCTTTACTAAAGGGACCCCTCACCATTAGGTCCAGTTGTGGCCGACTCTGGGGTTGCGGCACTCATCTCGCTTTATTGGCCGAGGGAGCCGGCGTACAGCTTCCGGGTCATGTGGCCAGCATGACTAAGCCGCTTCTGGCGAACCAGAGCAGCGCACGGAAATGCCGTTTACCTTCCCGCCGGAGCGGGACCTATTTATCTACTTGCACTTTGACGTGATTTCAAACTGCTAGGTTGGCAGGAGCAGGGACCGAGCAACGGGAGTTCACCCCGTCGTGGGGATTCGAACTGCCAACCTTCTAATCGGCAGGTCGTAGGCTCTGTGGTTTAACCCACAGCGGCACCCGCATCCCTACAGTACATATACAAGACAGTAAAACATCAAACTTTAAAAACCTCCTGATACAGCTGTCTTCTAAATGTCAGATGGTTGCCTACCTCCTTGCCCTCGGAAGGGAGGGCATTCCATGGGGCAGGAGGCCCTCTGCCTGGTTCCCTGGAACTTCACTTCTAACAGCAAGGGAACCAGCAGAAGACCCTCGGAGGCGGACCTCCCTGTCCTGACTGAGTGATGGGCGTGAAGATGCTCCTTCAGGTCCACAGGGCCGAGGCTGATGAGGGCTTTAGGCTGCAGCTCTTGCTCCTCCATAATGATCGATGTATAGTTAGCAGAGTAGGAAAAAACACTCAGAGGCAGAAAAAAATAATTCAGCTGAGAAATTTATTACTGAAGACAGATAAGCATAACAGGACCCAAAAATTAGCAAAAATGTAACTCACACTAAAACCCTGACTTAGCAAACCAAAACAGCACTCAAGTAAGAAACAGACAGAATATAGTAATATCAGAATATGAAGTGGGAGCAGGCGCATTTCAATACTTTATTTATATATTTATATATAGTTCAATGTCAGAGAAACCCTGGGACTAGATAACAAGCCTCCAGGTGGACGTGCCCCACCTGCCCTTCACGTTCCTCTTCCGCACGGGCAGAATCTGCCTTCTGGACAGTGGGATTCACTGTTCTTCTCCTCCTCTCCATCCACCAGGGCTTGACTTCAGGTGCAGCAGAATTCCCCAGCCCCCCAAGGATTTGAGACCCATCAGCTTTCCTCACCTGGTTTAGCCGGCCGGTTGAAGCCGCTGCTTGAACCCCTGTTGCATGCTGACAGCTTCTGGAAGCCACAGGTGAGAGCTGAGTGCAGGGTGGGCACCAAGGGTGGAAAAATGACCCCAGAAGGTGCAGGACATGTCCCCCACCAAAGGACCTACTGCTCCCCAACACCCCATGACATCTAGATTCAGGTAGGTAGCCGTATTGGTCTGACGCACTTGAAATAAAAAATTAAAAAATAGTCCAGTAGTGCCTTAGAGACCAACTATGATTGTTCTAGATATAAGCTTTCGTGTGCATGCACACTTCTTCAGATACACCGACACAGATGTCACCAGACCCTTGTATATCGTGGGAGGGTGGAGTGGGGTTTTTCTCAGAAGGGTACTCCTACTACCATCTCCCACTACCCATCACTATATGAAGAAGTGTGCATGCACATGAAAGCTTATACCTAGAACAAAATTAGTTGGTCCCTAAGGTGCTGCTGTTGTTGTTGTTTAGTCGTTTAATCGTGACCGACTCTTCGTGACCCCATGGACCACAGCACGCCAGGCACTCCTGTCTTCCACTGCCTCCCTCATGCTGGTAGCTTTGAGAACACTGTCCAACCATCTCGTCCTCTGTCGTCCCCTTCTCCTTGTGCCCTCAATCTTTCCCAGCATCAGGGTCTTTTCCAGGGCGTCTTCTCTTCTCATGAGGTGGCCAAAGTACTGGAGCCTCAGCTTCAGGATCTGTCCTTCCAGTGAGCACTCAGGGCTGATTTCCTTCAGAATGGAGAGGTTTGATCTTCTTGCAGTCCATGGGACTCTCAAGAATCTCATCCAGCACCAGAATTCAAAAGCACCAATTCTTCAGTGATCAGCCTTCTTTATGGTCCAGCTCTCACTTCCATACACCACTACTGGGAAATCCATAGCTTTAACTATATGGACCTTTGCCGGCAAGGTGATGTCTCTGCATTTTAAGATGCTGTCTAGGTTTCTCATTGCTTTTCTCCCAAAATCCTAAGGTGCTGCTGGACTATTTTTGTTACTTTTTTACTTCAACTGTGTCAGACAAATATGTCTACTTACCATTAACTACAGTTATCTCCTTGCCTTGAATATCCTGCCTTTCAGTGCCAGATTAGGATAGTCCTCTGTCAGAAGAGAAGCAGAGGATCAGGCAGCACATCATCATTATAAAGAACCATTGGGGTGGGGTGTTTCCGCCTGGGATTCCCATGTGCCATCTGCTTTCCTTCTGCTTCTCCTGCTCTCCCCATGCAATGTGAGGCATGTAGACACAGGTCCATCTCCAAGAACAGGAGCTTCCCTGAGCACCCATTCAGCTGACCCCAAGCACCAAGCCTTGTCACTAGTTCTCTGACTGACCCAGACCACAGTCCCCAGAAAAGATGTAGACCTGGGTCTCCCAAAATGGTCCATATAGACCTCCTGAGGTCAGTGGGACTATGCAGTTGATTCATGAAGATCTAGAGGTGGAAATGGGGCCAACCACTTGATTTGAAAGGCAGTCCCACAGGACAACAGTATTCCAAGGTCATGCTGTGTTATTAAAGATGATTGAGGATTATGAAAGGTTGCTGATGCATTACTACCATTTGACATCATACCATTTTTATTTCCTAAAAATTGGGAACATAGGTAGGACATGGGAGAACGTAGGAGATGTTGAAATAAGAGAAGGTGCTAATGGCGGTTGATGTGTCCTTTTTTCCTGTGTTCTCTTTCTTGAAACCCAAACAGGATTTCCTTTCTGCCCACTCTGAAAAAGGTGATGGAGAAGACAGAACTGCAGAGGACAGGGCACCTTTCATTTCATTAGGAATAGCCATTAAAATGTGTGAAATGTGGAATATGCTTCACTGAACGAGCACACATAGTTCACATAGCACACATAGATCACAAAAAGGAAAGAACCGATTTAAAGGTATGGAGTGCGGAAAGAGATTCTCTTTCAATGCAAAACTTAGAACACACCAGCGGACTCACACAGAGAGAAAACATTTTAAGTGCAGGGAGTGTGGGAAGAACTTCAGTCAGAGTGGACTCCTTAAATTGCACAAACGGACTCACACAGGGGAGAAACCATTTACATGTCTGGAGTGTGGAAAGAGCTTCAATCAGAGTACACACCATAGAAGACACCAACAGACTCACACAGGGGAGAAACCATTTAAATGTATCGAGTGTGGAAAGAGCTTCCGTTGTAATACAAGCCTTAGATCACATCAACGGACTCATACAGGGGAGAAACCATATAAATGTATTGAGTGTGAAAAGAGTTTTAGTAATAGTGGAAACCTAAGAAGACATCAACGGACTCACACAGTGGAGAAACCATTTAAATGCATGGAGTGTGGAAAGAGCTTTAGTGATAGTGGAAGCCTTAGATCACATCAACGGAATCACACAGGGGAGAAACCATATGAATGTATGGAGTGTGGAAAGAGCTTCAGTCGAAGTGGACACCTTAAAATACATCAATGGACACACACAGGGGAGAAACCATATAAATGTATCGAGTGTGGAAAGAGATTTAGTGATAGTGGAAGCCTTAGGAAACATCAACGGACTCACACAGGGGAGAAACCATATAAATGTATCGAGTGTGGAAAGAGCTTTAGTCAGAGTGGAAACCTTAGACAACATCAACGGACTCACACAGGGGAGAAACCATATAAATGTATCGAGTGTGGAAAGAGCTTTAGTGATATTGGAAGCCTTAGGAAACATCAACGGACTCACACAGGGGAGAAACCATATAAATGTATCGAGTGTGGAAACAGCTTTAGTAAAAGTGGAAACCTTAGGACCCATCAACGGACTCACACAGGGAAGAAACCATATAAATGTATCGAGTGTGGAAAGAGCTTTAGTCAGAGTGGAGACCTTAGGAACCATCAACGGACTCACACAGGGGAGAAACCATTTAAATGTGTGGAGTGTGGGAAGTGCTTCAGTTTCAGTGCAAGCCTTAGACAACATCAACGGACACACACAGGGGAGAAACCATTTAAATGTATGGATTGTGGGAAGTGCTTCAGTTTCAGTGCAAGCCTTAGACAACATCAACGGACTCACACAGGAGAGAAACCATTTAAATGTATCGAGTGTGGAAGGAGCTTCAGTCGGAGTGGAAATCTTAGAACACATCAGCGGACACACACGGGAGAAACCATTTAAAGGTATGGACTGTGGAAGGAGCTTCAGTCAGAGTGGAACCCTTGATTTTTGTCAACAAACTCATACAAAAGACAAACCATATAAATATCAGGAAAGTAGTTAGAGGTTCACTCTTAGTGGAAGTTCAGAATCAACAGACTCACGGACAGGAAGAACTTTAAGAGTTGAAACCCTTCAAACCATCAACAAACTCAGGAGAAGCAGTTTGAATGAAAAGACTACAGAAAGTGCTTTATTTATAATGGAGTATTTAAGGAACAGGGACGTGGATGGCGCTGTGGGTTAAACCACAGAGCCTAGGACTTGGCGATCAGAAGGTCGGCAGTTCGAATCCCCACGACGGGGTGAGCTCCCGTTGCTCAGTCCCAGCTCCTGCCAACCTAGCAGTTCAAAAGCACGTCAAAGTGCAAGCAGATAAATAGGTACCGCTCCAGTGGGGAGGTAAACGGTGTTTCCGTACGCTGCTCTGGTTCGCCAGAAGTGGCTTAGTCATGCTGGCCACATGACACGAAAGCTGTGCGCCGGCTCCCTCGGCCAGTAAAGTAAGATGAGCGCCGCAATCCCAGAGTCGGTCACGACTGGACCTAATGGTAAGGGGTCCCTTTACCTTTACCTTTATTTAAGGAACATCTAGGGACTTTCACATGGGAGAACCCATTTAGATGTATGGAGTGTGGGATGTCTTCCTCTCAGAGTCCACTCTGAGCAATGAACTCAGCAGGAGATCATTCCTAAAAGCATCAGGGATATGTGAAGTTCTGGTGTTTATATGTAAAACATTATAATAATCAAATAATGAAGGCAGCATCTCACAATAGTGAGTATAATTTTAGATGAAAGTACTTTTGGTTTTTGTACCAAACTCTGTCACCCCCCCCACCACCACATGATCTCCAAGCACTGCTTCTTCACCAGAACTTCATCGCTGCCTCCTGCCCTGCGCGTTCTGAAGAAAACTTGAAATACTGAAATTGAATGGGAGATTTCCCCCCAAGCCTAATTTCAAGAGGGGGAAGGAGGGGCTGCAGGTACCAGGGAAGTCTCCTGGGGGGCCCATCTTCACTCATGAACCCCATGGGGCAACCCCAGAGCTCCTGCTTATTCTAGGGTTTGGGAAAGAGAGTATTTTTCCATAGTCCCAGAAGTTTTGCTTCAATCATGCTACTCGGGAGTTTTCCTACCAGAGGACCACAGTGCTGTGGCTGCTGTTGTTGTCATGGACTGGCTGGTTGGGGGAGGCACCAGCTGGGGGGCCCACAAGGGAAGAAGGCTCAGAGTCCAGGAACTGGTGGTGGGATGGCAATGAGCAGAAAGAGGGAGAAAAGGGAGCAGAAGGGGAGGGGAGGTGTTGCAAGCTGAGGAGGAAACAGGGTTTGGTGATCAGGAAGAGTCTGGGGCAGAGAGCAGTTCAGGCTCAGAGGGAGGAGAGGAGGGAGCCAGGAGACCCAGAGGAGGCCGGCTGCTGAAGCATCCAGGGAGACTCCCCCTCCTGCTGTGACCAGCTCCCCTCTCCCCTGGTCTCCTAGAGCTCACAGAGAAATCCAGTTCAGACCCCATGAGCCTGTACATTGTATTAAGAGGTATTTTTTTGTCCCAGCATACACCACTTTAATGTCATTGATAATGAACTGTATTTTCTGCCCATTCACCCCGTTTGGAGAGCCCTTTTTGGAGCTCCTTGCAATCTCTCTTTCTTTGAACAACCCTGGACAATTTGCTGCCATCAGCAAACTTTGCTCCCGCCTAACTCTAGATCATTTATGAACAAGTTGAAAAGCCACAGGTCCCAATACTGATCTTGAGGGGACTCTGCTTTCTGCTCCTCTCCATTCAGAGAACTGTCCGTTTACTCTTTTGGTGTTTCAGGAGGAGGGCTGCCTCCAACAGAGGGGGCACATTTCTTCTAGGGGCACCTTTCCAGGGTCCCCACGGTGCCCCCCAGCCTGGCTCCACTCGGCCAGGGCAGCTGCATTTTGTTTCGCTGCAGGTGAGCCTGCCCCGTACAACGTGGGGTCTTAAAAGAACTTCATGGGGGGGGAATCAGCGAGAAGGAGCTTCTGGATCCTGTGCAGCCACCTCCCCGCTTGCTCCCTTCAGGTTTCCTGAGCCCCTCCCTTTTTCATTTTAAGGATTGTGGGTCCTGCACAGCCCTCAGGGCACCTAAGCATCGGGGGGGGGAGCTATTTTGTTTCCTGAGGGCAGGAGTCACAATCCTGGCACACTGCAGGATGTCTGGGTTTTAGGTATGGGGCTGAGGCTCAGGTGGAAAAGAGCTGATTGGGGAAATATCCTGGGGTGTGGATTTTATTTCATTTTTAATCATTTTTATTGATTTTCCAAAAAAATCTTGAGTGTTCACTGGAAGGACAGATCCTGAAGCTGAGGCTCCAAGACTTTGACCACCTCATGAGAAGAGAAGACTTCCTGGAAAAGACCCTGATGTTGGGAAAGAGGGAGGGCACAAGGAGAAGGGGACGAGAGAGGACGAGATGGTGGGACAGTGTTCTTGAAGCCACTAACATGAGTTTGACCAAACTGCGGGAGGCAGTGGAAGACAGTGGTGCCTGGCGTGCTCTGGTCCAGGGGGTCACAAAGAGGCGGACACGACTAAACGACTCAACAACGAATATCAAGATGTGGAAAAATGGAAACAAAATGTGGAAAATATGGAAAGCACAAGGAGAAGCAGGACCAATAATAATGATTATTATGGATTACAATTGGAAGTAGGGATAAGAAGTTTGTAATGAAAGAGGATATTGATGTTTCAGATATGAAATTGGGAACTGCTAAATATGTGTTATGATGAAATTCAGATTGGAAGGTGTCAAGGAAGTCTTCTAGCAATGTAAATATACCAGGGAATAAGAAGGGGGAAAAATATTCTTTCATCTTTTGCATTTTTATTGTTGTTAAGTTTATATGTTGTGTTAAATGTAATGTTCTTTTCTGTGTTTATGTTTATGTATTCTAAGAGCCTGGCGTGCTCTGGTCGATGGAGCCACGAAGAGCCGGACAGGACTAAATGACTAAACAACAACAAAATTACAAGAGAAAACCAATAAATATTTGGGGGGGCGTGACCAGCACCTTCTAGCTTCATCAGGGCAAGCATATTGTTAGGTGGGCATGAGCTCCGTCTTCCTTGAGGCAAGTGTGCTTTGTGGCAGCTTTGCTTCATGAGAAGTCAAGCAGCAATTTGGAGCTCAATACACCAAGGAGCAAACCAAAATTCTCAGTTTAGGGCTAAACTACTGAAGACCCTGCAATAAAACCCTGCATATGTTTGCCCAGAAGTATGCCAGATGGACGCTAGTGTAGAGTTTCCCCCCGCAAGTGTGCTGAGTAAACTCTGCAGTTCTGCAGCCGAATCCCAAGGCATAAATAATGTTGCAGTCCTGACTCCACTTCCCTGGGTATATTCTGCACGGGACTGAGCAGACGGGGGGGAAGATGGCACTCCCAAGTGTATCTTAAACATCTTCCATCCTGTTCTCTGTCATCTTTCTACTTTCCCTTTAAATGCTGACAGTTATCTGGTCTGGATAAAAGAGAAGATGTTTCCGACAAGTGTGTGCACATAAGTGCATGTGTAGGCTGGAATTTGAACTGCTGAGGCTGGGAGGTTTGCAAAAGAAAACAAGGTGCAGGATGTCCAGTGGTAGCTGGCCAGGGGATTGCTTGCAACTGAGACAGGGGACTGCTTGGGCATGAAGGTATCGCTGGACATGACTTTATAAGGGGATGTGAAATTCTGTGAAGAAGCTTACTGGTACAATTAATGAGAACAAACCAACTTCGTATGAAACATGAATAGGGCGCTGTGTTTGCTCTGTAATCTTTTGACTCAGGCATGGTTCCACGCCACTCCCCCCAAAACAATGATTTCTTTCTGAGGTCTCAGGTGATCCCAACTGGAGATGAGAATGTTGTGTGAGATGCACATGAGGAAGTTTCTCTGGTGATGCCTCAATCTCAGGGGTTTTGTTTTTCAAGCTCAGAATTTTAAATACTGAGCCTTGGAAGAAGTACGCTTGCAAATGATTATTGGGTAGTGAAGGTGTGGGGTGTAAATTTGTATTGCAGTCATATACAACATTCCTACAATGCACATGCTGGGGAATGCTTGTGTCACTCAGGAGAATAATAATAATAATAATAATAATAATAATAATAATAATAATAATTTATTATTTATACCCCGCCCATCTGGCTGGGCTTCCCCGGCCACTCTGGGCGGCTTCCAAAAGAATATTAAAATACTATAATACATCAAACATTAAAAGCTTCCCGAAACAGGGCTGCCTTCAGATGTCTTCTAAAAGCCTGGTAGTTGTTGTTCTCTTTGACATCTGGTGGGAGGGTGTTCCACAGGGAAGGCGCCACTACCGAGAAGACTTGCTAGTTCCTCCTGAGCTGGGACAGACTTCCTCTGCATGGCACTTCATGTAGGTGTGGCCTGTTCTTGGACAGAGGAGCACACGGCCTCCATGTTCTGCTCTTCTTCTTCTCCTTTTTGTGTTCCTACAAGTTAGGAAGAAGTGACTGCTCGGTTGCAGTCACTTGAGATTATTTTCCTTATGGGATAGTTCATGTCGATATATATAGAGTTATGTAACTCAAGTCTGCCTTCAGGGATCTTATTGTGAACTGGATGATTGTAAGTCAACTAGTTTTATGTTAACTTTAATCAGATAGTCGTGTCTATTCTTTTAGGAGGGATATAAAAAGGGATCTTACCAGGAATCCTAAATAGTGAGGCTCAGACGAGCCTGCAACTAGCTAACTGCTGTGTAATTTGAAAGAGGGATTGTTTAACAACTCTGCTAAGTTATAGAACTTGCCAACGCAAGTTAGGAAGCATATCATAAAAGAATATATCCTCTCCTGCCTCCCTAAACATTCTCACAGAAAGAGCCTGGGGTAGGATGTCACCTCCCTTGGAGCGAGCGACCAGCAGGGATTCCTCTGAGCTGCCTCCATGTGTTACGCTCAGCCCACCGTTCCCCATACAGACATCTCTGGCAATGGTTGCTGACGAGGGCTTACTGCCCATGCTGCCTTCTTTTGAATAGGATGGTGGGCAGTCCTCTGACAACTCACAGAGCTGTTTTCAGGATCTGGAGTGCAAGGATTTGTGAGGACTGATGTAGTGTAGCAGTCAAAGTGTGAGATGTGAGTCAAACTCCTCTTCCTGCAACCTCAACTCTTCGTATGCATGGGGATTATAACACTGGACAGCCTTGTAGGGCTGTTGTTTAGATTACTGAGATAACATATGTTATATTTTGTAATGCTTTAAATGTGCTACATAAATGCTAAAGTATTCTTAAGTAAAGCTGAGTATTGGTTGGTGCAAAGTGAAAGGGCCGAGAGGCAGAGCCAATAGAAGAAGACGAAATCCAACGAGTAATAAAAGAATCAAAAACCCAGGACCGGATGGATTTTCGGCAAAATATTATAAAAAAACTAAATCAAACCCTGATTGCACCCTTGAAAGAAGTACTGAACAGCATTTTAAGGAAGGGAAAAGTACCTGGCAGGTCAGACTCAGAGGGAGGAGAGGAGGGGGCCAGGAGACCCAGAGGAGGCCGGCTGCTGAAGCATCCAGGGAGACTCCCCCTCCTGCTGCGACCAGCTCCCCTCTCCCCTGGTCTCCTAGAGCACACAGAGAAATCCAGTTCAGACCCCATGAGCCTGTACTTTGAACTCTGAGTGTCCTCTAGTTTATCTCCCCATGTTGAGCCCCCACCGCCTTTGCTCAGAGGGGCTCTGGCCCTGCCCACCCATCCCTGGGCCACCTTCCCGTTTCATTCAAGGTGCACGGCTAGGAGATGGATCTTCCGCCAAACTCCCCTTTATTCCTGTTGCCACCACAGAGGACTCTTCAACACTTCACCCCAAACATAACAAAGAAGGAAGTGTGCATCGGTTCATTAAACTGATTTATTTAAAAAAATAGACATAAACATGTGGTTTCAAATGTTCTCATTTCTTTTCTTTTTCTTTTGAAACTTTGCTACAGCTGCAACAATGGGGATTATAATGCTCTTTCTCTACTACAGGTCTAACCAACCCTGCTCCACAATTGCCACCACTGTCCCATTCCATTCCACCCTCCAATGGTTGCAGCCAACCATCTTGGCTGCAAGTCCCAGAAGATGGGCTCTCTCCTTAGAGACCTTTTCCACCTAGCCTGGGAGGGCAGAGCCTGGATTGACTCCAGCTGCAAAAGCTGAGGCTGCTGAACAGACTCTTGAATTTGGGGGTTTGGGGGGGGTTGTTGCTGTTGGTGTTTTGTTTTTATATTTTAGATCTTGTGATTTATGTGGAAATTGTTCAGTTCAATTGCTCAATCCCAGCATTCCAAACTACCCCTATCACCATCTAGCATTTCCTAAAATTTACTCTTCTACTGTAATTACCATTGTTATATTAATGTCATTGATACATGCGTATAAAACTTTAAATACAAACACCAAGACATTGCACTGAAACTTTCGGTAAATGCGCATGCATGCACTTTCCAAGAGTCTCATTCGAGACTCAGTGGGGGGCAGTGCTTAAGAGTTTTGGACTAGGAACTGGGAGACCTGGGTTCCAATCTCCACTCAGTCACTGGGTGATGGCTTCACAGCCCAACCTACCTCACAGGGTTGTTGTCAGGATTAAACGATGAGGGGGAGAACGACTTAAGACCACACTGAGCTTCTTGAAGAAACAGGTGGTATATAAAGGCATCCAATAAATTTCACTAAGAAGAAAGGTAAGATTCTGCTCTTAGGCAAGATGAATCAGCTGCACAAATATAAGATGGGACATACCAGGCTTGCCAGTAGTACATGTGGAAAAGACCTGGGGTCTTAGTGGACCACAAGACTGACATAAGTCAACACCAGCGAAATAGGCTGTTATTCTAGGCTGCGTCCAAAGAAGTCAAGTGTCCAGATCAAGAAAAGTAATAGCCCCACTTTCTTCTGCCTTGTTCAGACCACACCTGGAGTCCTGTGTCCAGTTCTGGGTGCCCCAATTTAAGAAGGATTTTGACAAGCTGGAAGGTGTGCAGAGGGGGGTGAGCAAGACAATTAAGTGTTGGGAAACCAAGCCTTCTGAGGAACAGGAAGGGCTGTCAGGTGGAAGATTGAACAAGCTTGTTTTCACCGGCTCTGGAGGCTGCGACCCAAACCAATGGCTTCAAATTAGAGACGCCCTTGGAAGGTTGTGGACTCTCCTTCCTTGGAGGTTTGTAAGGAGAAGTTTGAAGGCAATATGTCATGGAAGCTTTAGTTGAGAGTCCTGCAGTGGACTAGACGACCCAGAAGTCTCCTGCAGGTCTAAAATTCTATGATTCTCCCCTGTATGAACTCTTTGATGGGCCATGAGCTTGGTCCTCTTACTGAAGCTCTTTCCACATTCCAAGCACTGATAGGGTTTCTCCCCTGTGTGAATTCTTTGGTGGGAAGTGAGATCGGCTCTCTGTAGGAAACTCTTTCCACAATCCAAGCATCAATAGGGTTTCTTCCTGGTATGAATGCTTTGATGGGTAGTGAGATGGGCCCTGAGACTGAAGTTCTTTCCACATTCCAAGCACTGATAGGGTTTTTCACCTGTGTGAATTCTTTGGTGGGAAGTGAGACTTGCCTTTTGGGTGAAGCCCTTTCCACAATTCACACATTTATATGGTTTCTCACCACTGTGAATTCTTTGGTGGGAAGTGAGATGGGAGCTCACAGTGAAACTCTTCCCACATTCTGAGCACTGATAGGGTTTCTCACCACTGTGAATCCTTTGATGGACCGTGAGAGTCGTCCTGTGATTGAAGCTCCACCCACATTCCGAGCACTGATAGGGTTTCTTGCCTGTATGAATTATTTGATGGGCTGTGAGATGGGTTCTCTGACCGAAGCTCTTTCCACACTCTCGGCATTCAAATGGCTTCTCCCCCCTGTGAATTCTCTGGTGTTTACGGAAGGTTTTGCTTGTATTAAAGCTTTTCCTACATTCCAAGCACTGATAGGGTTTCTGGCCTGTATGAATTATTTGATGCGAAATGAGATGTGCACTCTTACTGAAGCTCTTTCCACATTCCAAGCATTTCAGTGGGTCCTCCCCTGTGGAAATTATTTGCTGTGAAGTGAGGCTTTCATTCCAACAGAAAGTTCCCCTCCCCATTCAGAGAACTGAGAGGGTTTCTTCCCAATAGCATTTCTTTGGTGGGTAGTCAAATGGGAGCTGTGACTGAAGCTCTCTCCACACTCCAAGAGTGGCAATGGCTTCTCCACTGTGTGGATTCTGTCATGGGCATCCTCGCTCTCAATTTCCAAATCATCACCACCTGCAATGAAGAAATGGATTAGAGCTGCAGGAAGAAATGGAGTGCCACTGTATTGAATATTGATCTCTAACCCTTGTGATAGAGGAAGAATTCCATGCATCAACATTGCTGACCACACACTAGAGGTGGTCAGTGTTAGAAACAGAGATAGGACAGCTAGGACATAAAGAGGACCTTAAACCTAGGTTATGGGCTCAAAAATGGAATGTCCATATGCACTCTCTTATGACAAAAATACAAAGCTGAAAAGGAATTGTCAGGGGTTCAGGAGCAGAGGCACAGGAAAGGGAGGAAATAGAGAGCGAGGGGGAGGAGTCCGAAGGAAATGTTAGCGATGACAGCGGTCCGAGGTCTCTGAGTCTTTCCAGCGAATCGGAAGATTCACAGAAAGGGGCTCCCTTGGTCAGAGCAAGGGGGTGCCGAGGGGACACCCCAGGAAGAAGGGGCCAGAGGGTACTCAGTGAGCAGCAGTTGGTAATCAGGAGCAGGGTCCACACCCGAGTGCAGTTGGGGAGGGGTCCCAGGCATCGGGATCAGGCGGCGCACTGCCAGTGGGAGGACATGAGTCAGGATTGGCCACGCCTCCATCGGGGAGCGAGGAAACGGTCGAGAGGAAGGTTGAAGGCTGGGCGCGCGCGCAAAGTTCAAATGTACAGGAGGGCGGCGCAGTTGGCAGCCCGGATAGGGAGCCAGGTCCCAAAGCCCGCCGAAAAGAGGGGAGGAGTCAGGGGGTCAGCGTCAGAAGAATCCAGGAAGGAAGGGACCCCGGGGGGTAGCAGGACCCAGAGGAGAAAGGAGAGACGTAAGAGGTGGAGTAAGGCTAGAATCTTAAACTGGTGTACAGGGGGCGGAGACTCAGATGGAGCTTCGCCGATCTAACCCCTAGACGTAGAGCTGGGGCGCTGCGGCTTGAAAATGGAAACTGTACTTCAATAAAGACTTTTGTACATTACTGCCGGCTAGCGTTGGTCCTCTGTGAGCTGGGACCTGGAGCCAGCTCTGACAGTAAGCTCCATCTCATAAAGTTTTGCACCAAAAACCTCGTAACGTGAGTGGACGCAGCGAGGGAAGAAGATTGGTGCTTCGCGAGCTCACAAAAGTCAGGCAAGATGACTACAGAACAGCAACTAGCAGCCCTGCAAAATGCAGTGACACAACTCAACGCGGAGGTACTCGCATCCAGGAAAAGGGAAGAGGAAGCGGCTGCCGCCTGCAGGGATCTCCAAGCCAGGTTGGAAGTGCTTGCTAAGCAGGGGCAACCGGGACCCAAATCAGAGGGGATTGGGCTGGGGAAAAGAGGAGGCAGCCTGGTATCTCATTTCGATGGGAATTTGCAGCAGTACCCTAACTTCCGAGCAGACGTGCTGTTTGCGCTGGAACTGCTGGATAAAGACTTTAGAGATGAGCAAGAGAAGGTGGGGTTTATCTTGTCCCATTTGCATGGGGAAGCTAAAGCGTGGCTGCGCAATCTGTGGAGAGATAAGGATCCGGCGCTCCAAAATGCGGATGCATTCATTAAAGCGATGGATTCGTGTTTTTATCAAATATAGACATTGATATCGCCAGAAAAGACATACATGGGCTCAAACAAGGCAGAGCCAGTGTAAGGCAGTACCATTCCCGCTTTTTGCATTAGTCCATGCGCTGGGATGGGAGAAGGATTCTGCCCCAGCCAGAGACCTTTTTGGGAAGGCTTGAATGCAAATGTGAAAGATGAGATTGCAAGGGGGGAGAGACCAAAGAGCACTCAGGAGGTTGTCCGGCGGGCGCTGCAAATTGGGGTGCGTCTGGAAGAACGTCCATGGAACAGAGAAGAAGGACGTTGGGGACGTACGCCAGTGAGAGCACCTCCCTCTTTCCCAAGGATGCAGCGCGTGTGCAATCCCCACCTCCGCAAGGAGGGGGAGAGCAACCGATGGAGATTGGAGGCGCCAGGGCTCAGTCAGCAACCAGAGCCCTAACACCGGGAGCAGTCAAAGCGAAGCCTCCTAGAGGGAACAGGAAGTGCTACATCTGCGACAGTGCTCAGCACATGGCGAAAGAGTGTCCCCAGAGGCTCCACAAGCACACTGCAGCCTCAGCAACAGTAACAGACGCAACTCAGCAGAGAGAACCACAGCAGGGAAACGACAGAGTCTGGTTGGAGGAAGAGGCACTGGGGCCCAGCCAGACAAGTCAATGAAGCCGTCCCCAGAGATTTTGCAGCCCACAGACCCCCTCCCGCCCAAACCAGTGGTGCAGCTCACAGCATCGCTCCAACTACCCAATGGACTCACTATGGAAGTGCCGATTACCATTGACTCTGGTAGTAACGCAGACTTCATAGGACTGGATTTCATTCAAGAGCACAACATAGCACTCCTGCCAGCCACGCTGCCTCTGAAAGTTGTCACGGTGGATGGCAGGGAATTGCTGGGGGCAGGTGGTGCAGCAAACGCCTCCGATGGTGATGCAAATTGGGAATCACCGAGAAGTCATCAGCTTCAATGTCACCCAACTGTCGGACACGCCTATAGTATTAGGCATGAGTTGGCTGCACAGGCACAGCCCAGCATTGGCGTGGTACCAGCGACAACTGACCTTCGGCTCCTCATACTGTGCGGAACATTGCATTCTGCCTAGCCCGGAAGGGGAAGAGGATGACCCGCAGCTACAATTAGGCACGCTGCAAGCAGTGCCACTCAAGTACGCAGCGTTTTGGAGGTTTTCTGCGAGAAGGAAGCGGACAAGCTACCTCCCCACAGGTCCTATGACTGCAAGATTGACCTCCTGCCAGGGCGACGCTGCCAACCGGGAAACTGTATTCCATGTCTGAAGACGAGCTGCAGGAACTCAGGGAGTTCATAGACCTCAACTTGAAGCGCGGTTTCATCCAGGAGTCGAAGGCAGTGGGGGCAGTCCTGTATTCTTTGTGAAGAAGAAGGACACGCCCCAAAAAGGCTTGTGGTGGACTATAGAATTTTGAACTCGAAAACCAAGCCCACAGCCTTTCCCATGCCCAAGATAGATGACCTGCTCGCAACGGTGAGGAAAGGACGCGTTTTCACAAAGTTGGATCTGCGAGGGTCGTACAACCTGATTCGCATACGGGAGGGCGACGAATGGAAGACTGCCATGTTCACGCCCCTGGGCACCTATGAATACAGAGTTATGCCCTTTGGATTACAAAATGGCTCCCACTGTTTTCAAGCCTTCATGCATCACGTATTGGCGGGTCTCCTCTACAAGAAATGCGTCTGCTTCCTGGACGACATCCTGATATTTTCAGAATCAGAGGAGACCCACGAGGGAGACGTCAAGGAAGTTCTGCAGAGACTGCAGGAGCACAGGCTGTACGCCAAGCTGGAGAAGTGCCAGTTCGACATGAAGGAGGTAGATTTCCTGGGCTACAAGTTGTCGGACAAGGGGCTCGCCATGGACAGCGCCAAGGTTCGCTCAGTGTTGGACTGGAAGAGCCCGCGCAATCGGAAGGAGGTCCAGCGGTTTGTCGGTTTCGCCAACTTTTACCGCAAGTTCATCAAGGGGTTCGCGATGCAGACGGCGGCCATTACCGACACGCTCAGCTCCAAGAAGAAGAAGTTCATCTGGACGGAGCAAGCGGAGCAGTCCTTTCAGAAACTCAAGCGTCTCTTCTCGTCCGAAGAGCAGCTACTGCATGTGAATCCCAGCAGACCGATGAGGGTTGAAACGGACGCCTCAGACAGAGCCGTGGGAGCAGTACTGTTGCAGCAAGACCCGCATGGGGACTGGAGACCGTGTGCCTTCTACTCCAGGAAGCTCAGCAAGTCAGAGCAGAACTACACCATCTGGGACAGGGAGTTGCTGGCCATTCATGCAGCATTCAAGGCGTGGCGGCACTTCCTCATTGGAGCCAAACACACAGTGCAGGTCCGCACGGACCATAAAAACCTGGAGTACTGGCGCACGGCAAGGTTCCTGAACCAGAGGCACATACGATGGGCGGAGTTCTTTGCGGATTTCGACTTCAGGATAGAGTACATCCCAGGCGACAACAACATCATGGCGGATGCACTGTCCAGAAAGCCGCAATACCTCGAGGAGGCGGCACCAGCAGCGGCCAAGCACATTTTCGCACCGAAAGCGTGGGCGTGCGCTTCAGCAACCGTGGACCTGGATGCTGTACGTCGAGCACTGCAGGAGGACCCCTTCGCGCAAGCAAAGATGGCAGAGGTGCAAAGGGGCACGGCGGAGGACGACGAGTTCCAGATACGCGACGGATTGCTCATCCGCAGAGGGGCCCTCTACGTACCGGGAGACGACCTCCGCGCGAAAGTACTGCAGCAGTTGCACGACGCACCCACCGCCGGGCACTTTGGCAAAGAGAAGACGGTAGAATTAGTAGCCAGAGATTTTGGTGGCCCAAGATGCGGGGGGAAGTCGCGGATTACGTCTCGAGGTGCGACACCTGCCAAAGGGCCAAGTCAGTGCACAAACCGCCGGCGGGACTGCTCGAACCGCTGCAGACACCGCTCGAACCGTGGGAGAGGGTGGCCCTGGACTTTGTCACGGATCTACCCAGCTCGAGGGGCAAGACGGCAGTGCTAGTGGTGGTGGACATGTTCACCAAAATGGCCCACTTCATTCCGTGCGCGAAGGTGGCCACGGCGGAACAGACCGCCAAACTGTTCATAGACCACGTGTTCAGGGTTCACGGTCTGCCACGGTCTATCCTGTCCGACCGGGGCGACAGTTCATCTCGAACTTCTGGCAGAAGCTGATGGGTTTCCTGAACGTCAAGATCAACCTAGCGTCGGCGAGACACCCGCAGACGAACGGACAAGCGGAGCGAGTCAACGCCATCATGCAGCAGTACCTGCGATGCTACGCAAATCAGCAGCCGGCAACATGGGTGGACTACCTGCCGCTCGCTGAGTTCGCCTACAACAACACGAAGCACGTGTCCACGGGGGTGACACCGTTCTTCGCCAACAACGGGAGGCATCCCAGAACCTTCCCGGGATTAGCGAGAGCCGGGGAGGGGGAGCCACAGGCAGCGGAAGCCTTAGCATCAGAGTTGCAGGAGGTTCACGAACAGCTTCGGAGGCAGTTAGAACTAGCAAAGCACGCATACAAACTGCAGGCTGACAAGCACAGAAGGGTTGGGGAAGACATACAGGTGGGAGACTGGGTTTGGTTAGCAGCCCAGGCAGTGCCGGCCAGATCGTTAGCGAAGAAGAAGCTAGGGCATAAGCAGCTAGGACCCTACCAAGTCGAGGCACAGGTCAATCCAGTGGCCTTCCGGTTGACACTGCCGGAGGGATCCAGAATGCACCCAGTTTTCCATAGATCAGTGCTCACGCCCTACAAAGCACCTCATAGATTTCAGGAGCCAGGAACGGCACCAGACCCGTTCAGGGAAACGCCCACAAGGGGGTCGCCAAGGCGGGAACCCGTCAACGAAGTCACAGAGATTTTAGACTCGAGATGGGGGGAAGAGGGAGTAGAATATCTTCTCGCCAGAGAAGGTACCCCGGCCAGCGCCAACAGTTGGGTGCCAGACCATGCCTTGGACGAACCTTTTCTCAAGGACGAGTTTCATGCCCTTTTCCCACACAGGCCCATGCCAGCCGAGTATTTCGACGACTGGCTTTTCACACCCACATTTTCAGCTAGCACATTCCAGGGGTTCACCTCGGACGAGGAACCGGCACTAGAAACACGTCCCCGGAGGGATCACCCTCGGGGTCTGCCTCAGACCGTTCCTATTGGTGGGACAATCAACCAGAGGAGCAGTGGCGCAGGAAGTGGCTGGGGGGTCCTTGGCAGGCAACGTCCCCGGAGGAGACCGGGGAGAGACGGACATGGACGTGTTGGGGGAGGACCTTGGGTTCGAGCACGGCGGCAAAGAGATGGAAGCAGAGGAAATTGAGGTCGGCGAGAGCACGGAGGACGAGCCGGACTTATCCGGCTGGATGCACGCCACTGGGGTCGAACTGTCTCCGGCACTCACCACCACAACGACGGAGAACCCAGGACCCACACCTGAAGGAGGGGAGGGGGAAGGGGGGCTTCGAGGGGGATGGATGTCAGGGGTTCAGGAGCAGAGGCACTGGAAAGGGAGGAAATAGAGAGAGAGGGGAGGAGTCCGAAGGAAATGTTAGCGATGACAGCGGTCCGAGGTCTCTGAGTCTTTCCAGCGAATCGGAAGATTCACAGAAAGGGGCTCCCTTGGTCAGAGCAAGGGGGTGCCGAGGGGACACCCCAGGAAGAAGGGGCCAGAGGGGACTCAGAGAGCAGCAGTTGGAAATCAGGACCAGCGTCCACACCAGAGTGCAGTAGGGGGGAGGGGTCCCAGGCATCGGGATCAGGCGGCGCACTGCCAGTGGGAGGACATGAGTCAGGATTGGCCACGCCTCCATCGGGGAGCGAGGAAACGGTCGAGAGGAAGGTTGAAGGCTGGGCGCGCGCGCCAAGTTCAAATGTACAGGAGGGCGGCGCAGTTGGCAGCCCGGATAGGGAGCCAGGTCCCAAAGCCCGCCGAAAAGAGGTGGAGGAGTCAGGGGGGACAGCGTCCGAAGAATCCAGGAAGGAAGGGACCCCGCCGGGAAGCAGGACCCAGAGGAGAAAGGAGAGACGTAAGAGGTGGAGTAAGGCTAGAATCTTAAACTGGTGTACAGCGCGGCGGAGACTCAGATGGAGCTTCGCCGATCTAACCCCTAGACGTAGAGCTGGGGCGCTGCGGCTTGAAAATGGAAACTGTACTTCAATAAAGACTTTTGTACATTACTGCCGGCTAGCGTTGGTCCTCTGTGAGCTGGGACCTGGAGCCAGCTCTGACAGGAATGAACAGCAGCTAAAATAATATGTTCATTTTTCACATGGTCTAGTCCTTCCCCTGCCCACCCCCCTGATTTTTAAAGAAGGTCTCTCCTTCAGTCTTTAAAGAGTAGCTGGAAGTGGGGAGGCAGAAAAAGGTCCTCCTTTCCTTCCACTCTGCAGTTTTAATCCGAAATCTTAGGTTCTGCGAGCAGAGCTCGGAAACTGCTCGTGTCCATGACATTCCCTGTTGCAAAATGTGCTTAGAACCATGCGAGTTTCAGACAATGGAGGTGGTGGATGATTGTGTCTACCTAAGAAACCAACAACCTCTTCATTGATGCTGACCTGGACAAGTGTACTGGCGAGGCAGTTACGGCAACAGCTCACCTCTCCAAAAGAGTATGGGCGAATGGGCTGCTAACCGTTCAATACCAAGATGAAGGTCTACTAGGACTGCGTGTTGAGCAAGCTGCTTTGTGAAGTGAGTCATGGAAAATTACAACCATCAGAAACAACCCCTCAATGCCTTCCACAAGCTCTGTGTCAGGAAGATTTTGGGCAATACAAGGCAGGACAGTGTCAAACAAAGATGTGCTTTCCTAACCTCAAATTCCCAGCATGTTCCCATTCCATACTCAGCAAGGTCTATGCTGGCCTCATCATGTCCATGGTCAAAACAGTCGATAGCCCTCCATTTAAGGTGAGTTTAGGGGGTATTAGAATCCCAGGTGCTGCAAATAGCCCTCTAGTGCTTCCTCAAAACCAGGGAGGCTTATCACAGAGAGAGATGCATGGAATTTCCGAAGAGATATTTATGATGCACAAGGGAGCCTTACTGAGAGAGGCCACGATCCCATGATTCTCCTCCATGACTTCCTTATGCAGAGCTCTCTGGTCAGGATCCAGCAACGCCCATTCCTCATCTGTGAAACGGAACAGTGACATCTTCAAAGCACACTGGACCCTAAGAGAGAAAGGAAAAGGTCCTCTTTTGAGAGCACTAAGGTGGTCTGATACACATTGCTGTTTCTTTCTGCTCATTAAATGGTGTTTTGTTTCAATGGGATCGTCCTGCTGCACATTTTAATTTGGGTGCTCCTTTTAATGTCTTAATGGAATTCTTTTCTTGTGTGATTTAGTGATGGACATTAATCTTAGTGTAAATGGGTAGAACTCTACATTGTGTTCTTAAAATCCTTCTGTCTGTGCCAGATGGAAGGATCCCCTCTCTGCTCCTCATGTGCTGTTCTTGGGGGGGGGGGAGAGCCTTCTGATGCCCTAAAAGACAACTTCAAGAAGTGCATGGGGGGAGGAGAAGGGGGGAAAGCCCCATTGTGCAACTGATGTGACAGGATAAGTGAATCCTGGGAACTCTTTTTTAGGCCTGGTGAACTAACTACTTAGAAGTCTATTTTAGCATTCAATGATAACTCTAGAAATAAAACAACAATGACTTATGAATGATCTTATTGACCTTCAGAAGGTGAGTTAAGGAAAGGTGGTTGTTCCTTATTCCCAGCACATTAAGCTTCTGGAATGGCATTCCCAGCCTCTTGGCTTCTGTCTAGGCTGCCCTTGACAAAGACGTCTTCAGAGAAGCTTGGACAGAAGCCAAGAGGAGGAGAGAGATTCCTTGGGGGCCAGAGGCACCCTGGCTGCCCCCCCCCTCAGCCCCCTTCCCCACAGGGCTCCCTCCCTCTACCTGAGCTGCTTCCATAGCCTTTGCTTCTCCTTCACCACCAGGAATAGATGGAAGAGGAGGTCTTGCTGGCATCATCTGGTCACCTGCAAGAGACAGAGGTAAGTGGGAAGCCAGGAGTGCAGCTGCTCTCCAAAAGGTCTCACCTTCTGAGTGCATCTGGACATTTGGACCCATTTCATAATTTAGTTGGGTTAAAAAATACATCTCCCTCCTTGGTGCTCTTGGCCCCAAGTGTCTTCCTCCCCCCCCCAAAAAAAGATGACAAGAATCCATGGATTCGTTTTGATATCCACAGAAAGGGACCAAACGGAGAACGGACTCCTTCCTTACCCAGCAGCCTCTCTCTGGTGTCCAATGGAGTCCTTTTGGTCTCAGAGGAATCACCATTGGCTTCGCAAATGGTGTAAACAGGAACGGTTTGGATTCTTAGATCACGGACTGCAGTTTCTTGAAGATGGACTTTTGGCAAGCGATGGGCTGCACCTCACAACGGTTGGGAGAAATGTTTTTGCCAAAAATCTCAGAAACCTCATCAGGAGGGCTTTAAACTGACTAATGTGGGGGAGGGAGACAGTGCTCCTGAAGGCAGGAGTCTATCAATTGATGAAGATGACCATCCAAATGTCATAGACCAAATGGAGCAAACAGCACACAGACCTAGTGGTGGGAGGAAAAAATCCTTAAATAAGAGTCACGGGGGAATGATTAATGGACTTCAATGTCTGTACACTAATGCGCAAAGCATGGGAAATAAACAAGATGAGCTTGAGCTCTTGGTACAGCAAACTAAATATGACATAATAGGCATCACTGAAACCTGGTGGGATAAGTCCCATGATTGGAATGTAATAATGGGGGGATACAATCTATTTCAGAGAAACAGACCAGACAAGAAAGGAGGAGGAGTGGCGTTATATGTCAGGGATGTGTATACCTGTGAAGAAATCCAAGATTTAGAACCTCAAAGCCAAAGTGAGAGCATTTGGGTCAAAATTAAGGGAGAGAAGAATAACAGTGACCTCATTGTGGGAGTTTACTATAGATCCCCAAGCCAAACGGAGGACATAGATGATGCCTTCCTGGAACAGATGGCCAAGCATGCAAAAGGAAGGGAGATAGTAGTAATGGGGGACTTCAATTACCCGGATATTTGTTGGATGTCAAACTCAGCCAAGAGCATAAGGTCAAACAGATTCCTCACTGGCCTTGCAGACAACTTCATTGTCCAGAAAGTGGGAGAAGCAACAAGAGGAACAGCCATTTTAGATCTGGTCCTAACCAATGTTGATGACCTGGTTAGTGGGGTAGAAGTGGAAGGATCATTAGGCGCGAGTGATCATGCTCTTCTGAAGTTTACTATACAGCGGAAAGGAGCAGCCAAGCATACTAGGACTCAATTTCTCGACTTTAAGAAAGCTGACTTCATAAAACTTAGGGAAGTGCTGGGTGAGATCCCATGGACAGTAATACTAAAAGGAAAGGGAGTTCATGATGGCTGGGAGTTTGTTAAGAGGGAGATAGTAAAAGCACAACGTCAGGCAATACCAATGAGACGGAAACATGGAAGGTGCCTAAAGAAGCCAGGGTGGCTATCTAAAGAACTTTTAACTGAGTTAAGATTAAAAAGGATGTGTACAAAAATGGAAAAGGGGGAAACCACCAAAGAGGAATTCAAACAAATAGCCAGCACGTGTAGACACAAAGTCAGAAAAGCTAAAGCACAGAATGAACTCAGGCTTGCTAGAGAGGTTAAAAGCAACAAAAAAGGCTTTTATGGGTATGTTCGTAGCAAAAGGAAGAACAAAGAAACAGTGGGGTCACTCAGAGGAGAAGATGGTGAAATGCAAACAGGGGACACAGAAAGAGCTGAACTCCTCAATGCCTTCTTTGCCTCAGTCTTCTCCGATCAAGAAAACAATGCCCGACCTGAAGAATTTGGAGCAAATGATTCAGCAAAGGAAACACAGCCCAGAATAACTAAGGAGATAGTACAAGAATACTTGGCTAGTTTAGATGTATTCAAGTCTCCAGGGCCAGATGAACTGCATCCAAGAGTATTAAAAGAACTGGCAGATGTGATCTCAGAACCACTGGCAGTCATCTTTGAGAATTCCTGGAGAACAGGCGAAGTCCCGGCAGACTGGAGGAGGGCAAATGTTGTCCCTATTTTCAAAAAGGGGAAAAGAGAGGACCCAAATAATTACCGCCCAGTCAGTCTGACATCAATACCAGGGAAGATTCTGGAGCAGATCATTAAGCAAACAGTCTGTGAGCACCTAGAAAGGAATGCTGTGATCACCAATAGTCAGCATGGATTTCTGAAAAATAAGTCATGTCAGACTAACCTGATCTCATTTTTTGACAGAATTACAAGCCTGGTAGATGAAGGGAACGCAGTGGATGTAGCCTAGCTTGATTTCAGCAAGGCATTTGACAAGGTGCCTCATGATATTCTTGTAAAGAAGCTGGTAAAATGCGGTCTTGACTATGCTACCACTCAGTGGATTTGTAACTGGCTGACTGGACCGAACCCAAAGGGTGCTCATCAATGGTTCCTCTTCATCCTGGAGAAGAGTGACTAGTGGGGTGCCACAGGGTTCTGTCTTGGGCCCGGTCTTATTCAACATCTTTATCAACGACTTGGATGATGGACTCAAGGGCATCCTGATCAAATTTGCAGATGACACCAAATTGGGAGGGGTGGCTAACACCCCAGAGGACAGGATCACACTTCAAAACGACCTTGACAGATTAGAGAACTGGGCCAAAACAAATAAGAGGAATTTTAACAGGAGAAATGTAAAGTATTGCACTTGGGCAAAAGAAATGAGAGGCACAAATACAAGATGGGTGACACCTGGCTTGAGAGCAGTACATGTGAAAAGGATCTAGGAGTCTTGGTTGACCACAAACTTGACATGAGCCAACAGTGTGTGACGCGGCAGCTAAAAAAGCCAATGCAATTCTGGGCTGCATCAATAGGAGTATAGCATCTAGATCAAGGGAAGTAATAGTGCCACTGTATTCTGCTCTGGTCAGACCTCACCTGGAGTACTGTGTCCAGTTCTGGGCACCACAGTTCAAGAAGGACACTGACAAACTGGAACGTGTCCAGAGGAGGGCAACCAAAATGGTCAAAGGCCTGGAAACGATGCCTTATGAGGAACGGCTAAGAGAGCTGGGCATGTTTAGCCTGGAGAAGAGGAGGTTAAGGGGTGATATGATAGCCATGTTCAAATATAGAAAAGGATGTCACATAGAGGAGGGAGAAAGGTTGTTTTCTGCTGCTCCAGAGAAGCGGACACGGAGCAATGGATCCAAACTACAAGAAAGAAGATTCCACCTAAACATTAGGAAGAACTTCCTGACAATAAGAGCTGTTCGACAGTGGAATTTGCTGCCAAGGAGTGTGGTGGAGTCTCCTTCTTTGGAGGTCTTTAAGCAGAGGCTTGACAGCCATATGTCAGGAGTGCTCTGATGGGGTTTCCTGCTTGGCAGGGGGTTGGACTCGATGGCTCTTGTGGTCTCTTCCAACTCTATGATTCTATGATTCTATGATTCTATGGGCCCATTTCTGCAAACAGATCCTGTCTCTGAAATAGCAACGAAGATTCATAACAGAGAATATGAAGAAGAGTTAGAAAAGGAATGACAGAGGCAAAAACTGAAGGGCAATCTGATAACATTCAATGGCTGCTTTCCAAAAAAAGGATGGAGAATTTTCAGATACTCTCACTCATGTTGAGCGTATGTGCGGCTCTTGGGGGCGTTTTCTGCCTGCCTCCCGCCTGCATTCCCTCCATAAGACGCACACACATGCCCCCTTTTTAGGAGGGGAAAAGTGTGTCTTATGGAGAGAGAAATACGGTAAGTCTCCCGCCCTCCTAGAGGGAAAGTGACCATGCAAAATGTGCAGGGAACTGCTGGTCTTTCTGAGAGATGAATCAGCCTGGTTGCCCCTGCCTTTCAGAGTTTTCAGTCAAGGAATGAAGTCAGAACTGTGATTGACAAGTGACTCATTTGTACTGAGTGTTATCTGAGCATTGGGTTATAGTGGGGGTCCTAACCCAGGGTTCCTCAAGAGTTGCTCTCCTGCCCAACCCCACTTCAGGGCCCATTTATTCCCTTATCTGGCTAACTTCTGAGGGCCAAATGACATGTGGGTGGGGTCAAAGGGCAGCACTCAAAAACAAATGAAGTGGGACTCGCCTTTCTAAGCGTGTAATGTGTTTTCAACTGTTCTTATTGCTGTTTTTTATATTTAGTAATCAGCTCTTGGAAATTCGGCTGATGGGCAGGGAACTAACAATAATGATGATGATGTTACATTGCTTAACATGCCCCCTCCCCAGTCATGAATACTTGAGGGCACTCCTGGGTCCATCATGGGCGCTTGAGGCCCATGTCCAGCTCAGGCTACTTCCCCACCCCACAGACCTTTTGGGACAGAGAGGACATGGCGCTGGTCTTTCCTGCTCTGCACCAGATGGGATGGTTGCAACACTCTCTGTGTGGAACTGCCCTTGAAGGCGACTCGGGAACTGGCCCAAAATGCAGCAGCCAGATGATTGGCTGGGCTGCCTCTCTTTATGAAGGACTTTCGTCTCCCACCTCTTTGTCCAAAGAGATCAAGGTGGCATCCATGGGTCTACCCTTCCCCACTGAGTCCCCCCACAACAAACAAGTTGGATTCCTGTTTTAAAACAGTTGCACTGGTTGTTTCCATTCCAGCAGGACCTCTCCTGCTTTGGATGCCTTGGCTTGTTAGACCTCCTGCGGTGCTTTCATAGAACTATAGAGGTGGATGGCACCCCAAGGATCATCTAGTCCAACCCACAGCAGTCTCAGAGGGCAAACTTGCATCTGGAGGAACTAAGCACTGGAGGAGAAAATGGGCCCTTCAGAATCAGGCCAGAGGGCTGCCTCCTATAGGGGAGACAGAGAAGAGGAGCCACCCATCGCCCTCTCCTTCTCCTCCACAGATTGGCCTCCTCCTCCTCCTTGATTGGTGGCCTCTGCCTGTTGTGGGAGGGAGTTCCACAGGTTTTACTCTGCCCTGCAAGAGGAAGCACTTTCTCTTCTCTGCCTTCCTTCCTTCCTTCCTTCCTTGCACAGGTGAGGTTTTAGGGACCAGGGTATATTTCATGTCCGGATGTTTCCATCTGCGGACAACCTCTGTTATACAAGGGGACTGATCCATACATCTGAATGGGGTTTATTTGCATGCATTTCCCACTCCTGGACCCAAGACCCTGTTGGGATTTCAGATCTCACCTGCTGCAAAGAGCAGCTACTGTGTTGACATCATGTGATGTCTCTGAGCGTGAGACAGGAAGTCTCTGCCAGTTCTCATGTAACAGAAGAGTTACTTCGCTTCTGAGTTGAAGTGTGAGTCGAGTGGTAGACTATTGTGTTTGCTGCTCAGGAGAGAAGTCAGGCTTGTAAGAGCTGCTTGTACAGTCTTAATAAAGTAGTGAGTAGACTATGGACTGTCTCTTTCTTCTGTGATGGGATGCCAGAAGATTAGTGTGCTCCTCTCAGGCGGGAGGGGTCGCTTATTACCGGTCTCTCTGGACTGAGGAAGGATTCCAGCCAGAGAGTGACCATCGGAGAGAAGCCCCGGTGTCTTGGGATGTTGGCACCCTTCCTGGGGGCGTTTTTTCCAACAGACCCCTCCCCAAGGGGCCAGCAGCGCACCCATGCAAAGGAAGAGCAGAGCTGCCGCCCTCCTGCGACCCTCCGCGCCCTGACTTGCCCCCCTCTCGCCATGCAGCGCTGGGACCCCCGCTCTCCCCATGGGCCCTATGTGGGGAGAGAGGAGACTCACCGGATCCCAGCAGGCGCCCCCAGGCAGCCTCTGCAGAGCCGAACCAAGGGGACCCCCACACGCCCGACTTCTTGCAGGAAAGGGAGGGGTTGGGCTTTCGCTCTGGAGGACCCTGCGCCCCCTCTTACTTTCCTGTCTAGGAATCTAGCTCGTTTCCGTTTAACCCTTGGCAAGCCGAGCTCACTCAACTCACGCCTCTCCCTCTCCCGAGAGCAGGAGCATCGCGCACCAATGGCATCCGGAGAAGGCGGAGGAGGAGAGGTTTATGGATTACTTCCGGCAAGGGATACATTCAGTTTTGGACAGCAGCTGAACGGCCCCCTAACAGCTGGCCCCTGAACACGGGTCCTAAGAAATCTTCATGGGCTCCAGGTCCGTTTCCGAGCACCATTCAAAGTGTCGGTGCTGACCTTGAAAGCCCTAAATGGTCTCAGCCCGCAGACACGTTTCCGCAAAAAGACCAAAACTCCGGCATGTAGCCGCAGGTGATACAATAGGAGCCTTTCTGCAAATGGCCTTTGCAACACAACTCACTGGGCGGTAACAAAGTATACACGTTTGCTTCTTTACAACGGATGCTTTCGCATAGCCCCGTTTCCTCAATGAATCCACCCATTTCAGTAAAACCTGAGCTGAAATAGTAAGGAGAGCAAAACAGCAGCCCTATCTGACCTTCGTCAGCCTCCTGATCTCCCCAGTCACGTGGCAGGAGATTCTTCCTGAGGCCCCCCCCCCCGCTCCGTGAGATGGGTATGACATCATGGATGATCCAGTGATGATCCATATGATCCATTGATGATCCACATGATCCAAGCAGACTTGTCCAAAGAGCAGATCTCTATGCCTGAATGAAACGGGTCTGCGATGATGGATTCTGGAGTCAAGAAATCCGCGGGTGTCGGGGCTTTGCGTGCAAAAACCAAAGCCACTTTTTTTCCCTAACGCAGGAGTCACAAAGCCTAACCCGCTGCTCAATGTGCACCAATACCTAAAACATGGAATGGACCTAAGATCACGGCGTGGGGTGCGAGGGGAGGGAAGGATTTTGCAATGTAAACATTGGGGGGGGGGGCGCTTTGCAGTTGGATTGCCGGGATCAGCCCCTTCCCCGCTCTCCTCATCCCCTGAACGAAGAAGGGAGGGGGAAAACCTTCCTCTCCTTCGCCCCCCCTCAATTCCTCCCCTACCAGTACCTCCTCCTCTCACCCCGCCCCCACAACCCTCAACCCCCCCCCCCGTATGTCGCACCTCTTCCTTCTGCTCCTCCTCCCCGCAATCCGGCTTCTGTTTCCGGAATGAGCGGAGAGAGCCCCCCTCCCAAACTGCCTGCTTCTCCCGGACGTGGAGCTTCTGCGTCGGATTGCTGTTCTGCGCCGTAGCTCGGGGGGGGGGCGCTTTCGGAAAGGGGAGGAGGGGCGGCAGGACCCCCCACCCGTGGATGTTGCGGGAAAGGAAAGGAGAATCGGGAGCGAGGACAAAGAGGTAAAGGGGTCGCGGAGGAGGGGAAAGGGGAGACGGGAGAAAAGGATTCAGAGACCCCCGCCAGCTCCCCAAAGCGCCTTCCGTGGGGCCTGGATCCCTGAGCGCGTGCTGCGAAGGGGGCTTTCCTTGGCCCCTTGGGTGCCTTGGCAGGGGCGGACATGAGGCGCCCACCCAGAGGATCCCAATGAAGCGCCCTCGCCCCGTTTCCCCCGCGCAGGCATCCCTGGGGCGCTGTGGGTTCCGCGCGGAGAGAGGTGGGCCATGAAAGGGTTAATGGGAGTGAGGGACGCCTGGATAGAGACCCCCCGTCCCTCCCCTGCTCGTCTTGGGGGGCCCTTCTGGACGGAGAAATGGGGGTCGCAGGGCGAGGGGTGAGCCGCGCCAAGGGGTGCGGGGCCTCTGGGTGCAGGGGAGACTCTGGGACAGAGGGAGGGAATCGATGAAGTGGGGAGGGGGAGCATCCCTGGGGCAGGGAAGTGCAGCATTGGGGGAGGGAGAGATAGGAAACCAGTCTTTGGGGAGACTTCTCCATGGTGGCGCCCGCTGGGGATCTCCGGAGGGGCCGCCTTGGCTTCTCCCTCCCACCCAAGAATTGGCCATCCCTTCAAGGTGACCAGAGGGATCCCTGGAAACTGGGGGGTCCAGTCCCCCCACCCCTTCCTGCAAGCTCCATCCTCTTCCCACCCCATGAGCCCCTATAAGCCCCTGCCCTGTCCAGATGCAGTGATTCTGCCCAGTCCAGCCATTGGTCGCCCTGGAGAGGAGAGGAAATCCCAAGAGGAAGGGAGGAGGGGAGAGGCCTTCTCAGAAGCGGCTCTTTATTTCCGCAATCCCACCCAGGAAGCAGCCAGAAACCTTTTCTTCTCTCTCAGGCTTCCATCTTTATTATCTTTTCCACTGTGTATGAGGATAATGTACACCTGTCATCAGAAACAGGGGTGCAGAGTCCATGGAATGGCTCTCAGGATTGATATAGAAGTTGCACCTCAAAAGCATTTCTGTTCCTCTTATTCTTTGAAGGCAGTGTGACTGACAAGCTGAGATACAATCCTTCAGCATCTGATGACAGCGACTGCATGAATCTTCCCAAAGGACCCATTTTCTTGATAGACAGTGCCTGTGGCTGGAGGCTCTACACACAGGGTTTGCCTATACAGGCCAAAGACTGCCAGTATTAGCACAGGTGAGGTGTGTGACCCCCCCTCCAAATTGACAGACTGTGTGTGAATGAGAGTTTGTGGGTGGGATTATCGTTTATGGCAGCCCTGTGATTTTCTCCACCCATAACATTTCGAGAGCTGATATTGCAGTACGAATTCCAAAATAACTACAAAAAAATCACAAGATGATAAGAATGATGGTAGTATTTATATCCTGCCCATCTGGTCGGGTTTCCGCAGCCCCTCTGGGCAGGTTACAGCACATATAAAAGACAGTAAAACATCAAACATTAAAATCCTCCCGATACAGGGCTGCCTTCAGCTGTCTTCCAAATGTCAGGTAGTTGCCCATTTCCTTGCCCTCTGCCTGGTTCCCTGTAACTTCGCTTCTCGCAGGGAAGGAACCAGCAGAAGACCCTCAGAAGAGGACCTCAGTGTCCAGACTGAGCCATAGGGGTGGAGACGCTCCTTCAGGTCTACAGGGCCGAGGCTGTTGAGGACTTCAGCTCGCAGATCTTGCTCCTCCATAATGACCTCCAGAGCAAGTCCGACGTATATTTAGCAGAGTAGGAAAAAACCCTCAGAGGCAGCAAAAAATTTATTCAGCAAATAAATTTAATACTGAATGCAAAATAGCATAACAGGATCCAAAACATAGCAAAGAACTAACTTAAATAAAAGCCTAACGGCATACCAAAGCAGCACTCAAGTAAATAAAAAGAATTGTTCAGTAGCTCCTTAGAGACCAACTAAGATTGTCCTGGGTGTAACCTTTGGTGTGCATGCAAACTTCTTCAGATATCCTGAAACAGAAGTCCCCAGACCCTTATATATAGTGGGAGGGTGGGGTGGGGTTTTTCTCAGAAGGGTAGTAGGAGATGGGTATGGTAAAGCTGTTGACGACTGTTAATGACTGCAATTAGTCCTACAGGAAAAAGCATGGGATAGTATGCAGATGACCAAAAATAGCTTTAGTATGTGTAATGAGACAAGAATCCAATATCTCTATTCAGACCAGGTCTCTCCATAGTTTTCAGTTTAGTAATAAGTTGTAATTCAGCAACTTCTCTTTCAAGTCTATTTCTGAAATTCTTTTTTATTAATTTTGACTGCATCAGACCAATACGGCTACCTGCCTGAATCTAGCACTCAAGTAAGACACACACAAGCAGAGTAGAGAAATAGCAGAATAGGAAGTGGGTCCAGGCACCTTTCAATACTGTAATTTATAAACAATTCAGTGTCAGAGTAACATTGGGACGGGATAACAAGCCTGGCTCACTCCAATTTAACCAGCTTCATCTGGTTCCCAAAATCAAGGAAGGTTCAGCATAATCTCATTACAACTTATTCCACCACCTGCTCTCAGCAGAAAGGAAACGCCCTTATCAGCTAAAATGTTCCAGCTAGAGAAAACACCAACTTTGAATCACACAGAGCAAAACCACCAGAACCTTCCTGAAGCAATAGACCAGGAATGATTGAGCTCTCTACATTAGATCAATACTTTTCTATGCCTGAAAAATGCAACTATGTCACTTTAAAGGTCTGCACCAACAGTGTGAATTGTGCTTGGAAATGTGCTGGGAGCCAGGGAAGATCCTTTAGGACAAGTGATATGTGGTTTCCGCGGCTGCTCCCAGTTACTAGTCCAGCTGCCGCATTCTGGATTAGTTGCAGTTTCTGAGTCACCTTCAAAGATAGCCCCATGTACAACACATGACAGTAGTCCAAACTGGAGATAACCAGAGCATGCGCCACTCTGGTGAGACAGTCCGAGGGCAGGGAGGGTCTCATCCGGCGTACCAGATGGAGCTGGCAGACAGCTGCCCTGGACACAGAACTGACCTGCGCCTCCATTGACAGCTGTGAGTCCAAAATGACCCACAGGCTGTGCCCCTGGTCCTTTAGGGCCACAGTTACCCCATTCAGGACCAAGGAATCCTCCACATCTGACCGTCCTCCAGGGAAAGTACTTCTGTCTTGTCAGGATTCAACCTCAATCTGTTAGCTGCCACCCATCCTCAAACCACCTCCAGGCACCAACACAGGGCATTCACCACCTTCACTGGTTCCAATTTAAATGAGAAGAAGAGCTGGGTATCACCCACATACTGGTGATCACCCAGCCCCAAACCCCTGATGATCTCTCCCATCAGCTTCATATAAATCTTAAAAAGCATGGGGGAGAGGATGGAGTCTTGAGGCTCCCCACAAGTGAGAGCCCAGGGGTCTGAACACTCATCCCCCAACACCACTTTCTGGACATGGCCCAGGAGGAAGGAGGGGAACCACTGCACAGCAGTTCCCCCATCTCCCCTAGAGGGTCCAGAAGGATACCATGGCCAAAGGTTTCCAAAGCCACTGAGAGGTCTAGCAGAAACAGGAAACAGCTTCCCCTCAGACTCTAGACCATTTGGAGATCATCAATCACAGCAACCAGGGCAGTGTGAGTTCCATGATGAGGCCTGAATCCCAATTGGAAGGTTAATGGTTGCAGAAGCTTTCCTGGTCCTGCACCCCCAAAAGATCCAGGCACAAGACTTTTGTAAGTTTTCAAGGGGCCACCTGATACATGGTGGTCTTTTCTTCAAAAAACAAATATTTTGAATACTTTTACAGTGCCGTATGATGTAAGTAGCGTTTCTGTTTCCCTTGCTCCACATCGGAGAGACTTTGATACACAGGTCTGAGCTGATTTCTCCACCTGAAACTGCTGTGTTAGCAGCAATGGCAGCCTGGGCAGTGTGTTTCGGGGTCCTGGGTTGCCTAGACAACAAGACCCCCTTCTCAGCAGTTAGGCACCAGCTTGGCTGCAGGAGTTGCTGGCAGGAGGTGTGCAGGGCACTATCCAAACATCTTAGAGACTCCACTCAAGATTTGTGTAAGGTTTTCCTCTATAGCCTTTTCTTCTCCTGAAGATAAGTCACGAGGCAGTGAAGGTTTAGGACCAGAGTTTTCCTTCTTGATGGGCTTCCTTCCCCGGTTGACGAGCCCCATCTGCCCTTCACTTTCCTCTGCAGGATGGGCAGAATCTGCCTTCTTGACTGTGGGATTCACTGTTCTTCTCATCCTCTCCTTCCACCAGGTCCTGCCTTCACCGGCAGCAGAATTCCCCAACCCACCAAGGATTTGAGACCCATCAGGTATCCTCACCTGGTTTAGCCGGCCGGTTGAAGCCGTTGCTTGAAGCCCTCTTGCATGCTGACAACTTCTGGAAGCCACAGGTGAGAGCTGAGTGCAGGGTGGGGACCAATGGTGGATAGATTACCCAAGAAGGTGCATGACATTTCCCCCACCAAAGGTACCGCCTCTCCTCTAACACCCCAAGACATCCTATAATTATGATACTTAAGACAAATGAGGAATAAATTCTTGTCTCCAGAGATAACACAACTTCAGACCATCAATGAATCAATACCATATATTCAAGGCTGAAGTATCCACTAAGTACAGTTATTTCTTTGCCTTTAATATCCAGGTTTTTCAGTGCCAGATTAGGATAGTCCTGCGTCAGAAGAGGGGCACGAGATCAGGCAGCACGTCATCATTAAAAAGAACGATTAGGGTGGGTGTTTCCGTCTGGGATTCCCATTTGCCAGCTGCTTTCCTTCCGCTTCTCCTGCTCTCTCCATGCGATGTGAGGCATGTAGACAGAGGTCCATCTCCAAGAACAGGAGCTTCCCTGAGCACCCATTCAGCTGACGCCAAGCACCAAGCCTTGTCACTAATTCTCTGACTGACCCAGGCCACAGTCCCTGGAAAAGATGTAGACCTGGGTCTCACATAATCGTCCGTATGGACCTCCTGAGGCCAATGGGACTGTGCAGGTGATTCATTAAGAGATTGAGGTGGATGGGGGCTTCCGGTTGAGCTGCGATCAGGGAAGAAGCGCGAGGCAACCCTCAGGGGGGTCTCGAGCAGTGCGGGGGCTTTAGAGGACCTCCATACCCTGAGAGGAGTATCTTGGGGGGCAGAGTACCTGGCAGAGCCTGGACGTTCTCTCCTGTTTCACAGGCTTTAAAGCTAAACTGAAGCTTGGGGACGGGATTGAGCTGCAGGCACCGAGGGGAAGCAGCAGACCCCACGCTGTGCAGTCTCAAGCTTCGACTGAAAGCGGCCAGCTTCCAAACAAAGAAAACAAATCTGGACTAAAACTAAAGCAGTTATTATCTGCGGATTTTACAAAAGAAAATTAACAAGATTCGGAGTGCTGAGGGCGAAAAAAGGGAGTCCGTCCCAGCGGTAAGGAGAAAATGGCGTCTGGCGGAAGACTGAGAGAGGACTGAAAGTAAGAAAGCAGCCGCCAAGTGAGGTTCGCAGAAAATCCTTGGTTACTATGTTCCGAGGTAACGATTTGTGGGGAAACAACAGAGAGGCATAGAAGGGGAGGCAAAACTTCTTTGTATCGTCTTGGTTGAAGCGTCCTGTGCCAGTGGTCGGAGAGTGAGCTTAAAATGCCCACCAGTGAACACCCGTGAACTCTGCTTTTTTCCTGCTGTTTGTAAAGAGGTTGGGCAGAAGTCTATGTTGGAGTCACAGTCGGTACGTTTGCAGGAGCAAGAAAGAAGAGACTTGGGGATTGCTGTGAATTGCTGTGAATATCTGCTGAAGTTCTATCTGAGCCTCTCCTTTGCTTTTTCGCCCTCTATGTGGGGGAGGAGATAAACGGTACGCTTTATAATGCTTGATTATCGGTCTTGAGTGGAGAATTTATGGATTAAGCTGATAAGGAACCGGAAAAAGAAGATTTTGTATTTGGAGTACAACACGAAGAATAAGTCTTTGACTTTTATTTTTATCTTTACTTCTTACTCCTGTTTTCCCCCCTCTCCCCCCTCTTCTTCTTTCCTGATCTTTTCCCCTCCCTTTCCTTACTCTATCGCCCCTCGTGTATCCCTTCCCCCACCCTTATTTCCCCCCCCTTCTCTCTTTTTTATCTGCTCTCCCTCCCTCCCTCCCTTTCTGCTCTCTCCGTGTTTTGGAGGTTTCATCCCCTTCTTTACTTTTTGTGCCTTTCTTCCTGACACTCTATGGCAGTCTCCCAGTCTAGTCCTCCAGCCACGTGAAAGGGGAAATTCCATTTGAAGGACAAAGAAATGGAAAGTAACTTTACTTAAGGAAGGATTTTTATTGAATTTACAGGAACTGCTGCCACTGTGTGGGGAAAGAGGGGAACTGCAATTGGGAAATTTGAAAAACAGTATACATTAATTTGCGACCCCTAGGGGTGGAAATTAGAATAACATTAGTAAATAAATATCTGATTAAGCAATTGTGACAGAATGAAGAAAAGATTGGGAACACCAGGAGAAAGAAGACCATCTAGACAGGAGAATGGCAAGAATGGGAAAGAGATAAAGGACTATGATGCGTTGATGGTTGAAATAAGAAAGGAGTTTAAACAAAATGAACAATATATTGAGAAAAAATTGTTAGAAGTTCAGGATACATTAGATAAGAAACTGGAGGGGGTGGTGGGAGAACTGACAGGTAAAGTAAAGGACTTAACGGTAAGATCTAAAGTGTTGGAAGAGTCAATGAAAAGGGCTCAGAAAGATCTAAAGGAAAGTAAAAAGGAGACAGATAGGATCAGAGGAGAAATAAAGGACATAAGTAAAACACAAGAAGAACTACTGGATAATATGTCAATGCTAGAAATGAGGCAGAAACAGTTGAATTTGAAATTCAGAGGTATTCCTGAGGGGATAAACGAAAATATAAGAGCTAAATTAATTAAAGAATTAGCAAACTGGCTAGACATGAGGAAAGAGGAGATAGGCTATACAATAGCAAATGCATTTCGAATAAAGGTAAAATCTGCCAGAGCAAGAGGGAAGAAATTGCTGGGGGATGTACCGGTTATGTTCAACCTTATGGACATGAGGAATGAGATACTGAGATTAAATTATAATAAAAACGTATGCATTGATGGGAAGGCAATTATTGTATTCAAGGAGGTTCCAGCCAGATTTCTTTTTCTTTTTTTTTTTTTTAAATAATTTTTATAAAAGTTTTAAACAACAAAGAAACAACACACACAAAAAGCAATACAAAACTCAACAATAAAAAACAAAAAACGTAACAATTAAAAACAAACTCTCTTTTCCATTTCCATTTTTAGATTACTTATTTTCTGGACTTCCTCATACCTCCCTCTTTTGTATTCCAATCCAAATTATTTGTCCAGCAGTTTCTTTTCCACTTTTTTAATCCCAATCTTTAATTTAATAAAATATTAAAATATATAACTTCAACTTCTTTAAACCTAATCCTTGATCTTAATATCATATAACATTAAAATTTTCCCTTTTAATATCAAATTTCCATTTCTTTAAACATCTTTAATCTTGATCTTTAATCTTAGTCTATCATTAACTTTAACT